CTCTCATCCAGCTCCTGCCAGCCACGCTGCATAGATCGTCACTCCAGCGAGTCTGAGGGCATCTTGAGAGTCGTCGTAGCCTAAAGGATAAGACGTCCGGTGCATTCTTATCTAGCGATGCACCGGTTTTCGAATCCCGCAGGCGGGTACAAAGGTTCGGTTGCGGGTACCCGCAAAATTATAATTTGCGTAATTACTGGTGGTACGACGTGTTGTGAGACGCAGAGGTAGGTACCACCACCCTGCCTATTTTAGCCGTGAAGCAGTAATGCGTTTCGGTTTGAAGGGTGGGGCAGCCGTTGGAACTATACTGAGACGTTAGAACTCATATCTCAAGGCTGGTGGCTGCATTTACGTTGTAGATGTATATGGGCTCCAGTAACCACTTAACACCAGGTGGGCTGTGAGCTCGACCACCAATCTAAGGAATAAACAAAAAAACTTCGTTTTGCCAATTCGCAATCTCCACTCAAGAACGCGTTTACCGCAACGGTTTTCGATTGTCCAACTAAGGTGACCAGGCCTGCTCATTGCCACTTTAGCTTACTAATCCGCTGTACTATGTCGATAAATTTGGTGCACCCAAAATTATATGTTAATTTATGAATTAAACTATTTTCTAGGTGAACCTGTTCACGATGAGGGGCCCGACTTGGCCGAACGCTCGTATTAAGTTCCAACTTAAGCTGGTGGAAGTTGACGCTCCGCCAACCGTCAAAGATAAAGCTGATATTAATACCTTCTTGTGAGTACCTCTTCCTTTGCAAAGACAATTTATAGATGTAATTGCATCACTTTTCTCATCACTCCAGCCCCATTGGACACGGCTATACATAAATACCACTTTAATAATTATATTGCGAAAAAACGTGGAAAGAAACTTTTAAAATTGAAAATTTCAAATTGTTTTTGGATTTAATTCGTAGATCTATGTGACTGGTTTTAAAAATACCAGAATAACAATCAAAAAAGTTTTTTTTTAATATAGCAATAACAGAACAACAAAGGTATAATAAAGTGATGAACAAAATATTGGAGAACTTAAATGCCTGTATATGCCTTATAGGACACGCCTTCAAGATTCTCACATTATCCTATCGTTACAGATTATCCCAGAACAACAACGAAGGCGTGATGTCTCTGGGTCGTCCTCTGGAAGGACCACAGAGTATAAAGCTGGACTTGATAATGGAGCTATACAACAATGGGCAGTTCGGAGGCATTGCTGTCGCGAAAATATTCATTTACGTGTCCGATTACGAGTTCTAAACATTTTCGCGCTGGTAAAAAGGCATTTATGCTGACTTAAATAAATAGAACAGAAAAAGAATAGAGACGTTATTGCGATGTTAAAATATGAATTTTTCAATCAATTTTCTTTTACATGTCCCTTATATTGTGGCAAACGAATTTAATGTGGTCGTTGTTTATAACCAAATTAAGGGAATTCCGTATGTTGATAGATCTTCCTGTTAACGCCCTGAATAAATTTTAAGCTTTCGAAAATGACGTACAGTACCTGGCAATAAATATTGCACATCGACCGTGGGAAAGAGACGGTTATTTTTTGCTTCGTACAGCGTTATATCTGTCGGAAATTACCTAATTGACGCTTAGTCTTCATAGAAAAATCGTTAGTGTTTCGTCGCACACAGGTAAAACGCTATACAACAAAAATAAAATTAGACGACTGTCTCTTTCTAAATATCGATGTACAATACTTATTCAAATCATTATATTGCGTATGGGACGAGAAATCCGGAAAAGTCAAGGTACAGCAGCTAATTCCGTTTTCAGTGATTGGATTTAATTGACCAAGCTAAAGCAAGCGTGGCAACCTCTTTAGATGTCATCACGAAAACAATGAATTCGAAGCATCGAAAGCCTAAAAAAGCTGCGTTCTTGCAATTATGGCATAATGATGCCTGACAACCCTAATGGATGATAACGTCATTTGTAACTAACATATCACGTGACATCTTGTGTTAAAGTGTAAAATCAAATTTATATTAGGGTAGAAAGGCGAACCGAATGTGCCTTTTATGAGGATTTTAATATTTTTATTTTTAACTAGCGACCCGCCCTCGCTTCGCTTCGGAAATATTAAATTTTATTATTAAATTATTAATAGCAGAGTTCCGCGATTTTACCCGCGGTTATTTTCGTACCGTAGGTGACGCCGCGGGGCGAAGCTGGTCTAAAAAAACTAGTTAGCCTAAGTTACTCTTTAGATCATCAGCTATCTATCAGTGAAAGTCTCATAAAAGTCGGTCCAGCCGTTCCAGAGATTAGCCGGAACAAACAGACAGACAGACAAAATTTAAAAAAAATGTTTGGTGCATGTACCGTATATTATTCATATGCACGTAGTAAAAAGCCGTTATTGCAATGTTACAAACAGACACTCCAATTTTATTTATATGTATAAAAACTTTATCAAACTCATTTTTTGTGTGCGAACTTTGAAAGGTTTCTAAGGCATATCACTCGATTATTTCGTAAGTAATTTAATTTCAAAAATACTCATTTTCGACGGGTATGATCACTATTAATTGAGTTCCCGATCTTTAGGTTCCAGCCATTTTAGAATTTCTGTTTACGCGCGAAACGAAAGCGTCCAAACCCAACCTATAGAGTAATGTTTGTAACTAATCGAATGAGATTTAAAATAAAGGTCTGTCAAATTATTTTTCGAATTGTAGTTTCCTAAGAGGCAGTATTCGTAATTATCGTGTATAATATTCCAAATAGTTGTAAGTATACTTTAGACAAAATCGATTGTATTATCTGTGCAATTTTTTACAGATTACATATCGCTGTTATGAGAACGTTTACATTAAAAAAATGTATATTACCTATTTTTAGTATTGAAGTAATAAAACAAAATTAGTTTTTAATCGAGTTTTTATTTTATTTAACACGATCCAACATGAACGATAATATAATTTAATCGTAAAAAGCCACTTAATTACTTCTTCTTTCGTTATCTACCCGCGCACGTTACTATTAGCCAAGAAAGTCTATTTATGTTGCCATCAAAAATACCCATCGACTTCAAGTATTCCCTTTTCAAATATTGTTTCAAGACCAAAGTAGAAGCAGATAGGTTGAAGCAAACTCAAATAGATAGTAATAGATAAGTAGTAGTATAGTAGATAAGTAGTCAAATAGATGTAGGAAGAAACACTGTCCAGTAGGAGTGGGTAATATCGGTTTTGCCGCGTATCGAATCGTATCTATATATCGAGGATCAATATCGGATATTGAATCTATATATTTTCTGAATCTATATATTGATGGATGCTAGTAGATTTTCTCGATTCATGATATTTGAGATTTGAAACGAACGCTGATATAATATCGTAGTAGATATAGATTTAAGTCAACGTTATACGGTTGGTTTTCTGATATCAATTTATAATATGATCTTAAAGTAATAAAAAGAACATGAAAATAAAAATATTAAAAAAACTTTCCTTCATGCTTTTACCAGGCTTAGGACTGGCTACATTATTTTCAGTTTTTAGTATTTTGTGTCTTAATTTAAAATTACAAAATATACCAAAAGAGTGTAGATTTCAAAAGTTTAATACAAACACAAGAAATAAACTCAATTATTTGGATTCAACTAAAAATAGAAAAATGTGTACTTTAAAAATCAAACACAAAAAACTTTTAAGTATTTATAAACACTTGTCCAAAAATTCTAGTTCAAGGTCAAAGCGCGTGAAATTAAATTCAACGATGCAAATAGGCTATACTGCATTCAAGTTAGGGTCGAAAGTTGAAACTTCTTTCCTTAATTGTATCCTGCTGATACGCTAAGAATAATCTACAGACATATGGACTTAAATATAAGGTTTACAATTGTATGGATAATGCCTGTTTCTGTTTCATTCATCACATGATATCCCTATCGTGCGCTCACTCACTCTGGCCGATTCGATACGAACCAAACGAATATTGCTGATATTAACGAATCGGTACGATATGCCGATGCGCATCACATCGAGCAATATCGTGTATCGGCTGATATCGAAATATAGATTTCGATTCACGAATCGGTACGATATGGCGATGCGCATCACATCGAGCAATATCGTGTATCGGCTGATATCGATATATAGATTTCGTGCGGGGCGATATCGGATTCAACGATATTGCTGCGATATATAGATATTGAATCTATATACGATTTATATCACCCACTCCTACTGTCCAGCGTCATGACTGGAGCAAAAGAGATGAGGGTATTTCAAGGAATTCTTCTGAATATCCTCGATGGAGTGAACATTCGACACGACACAAAGAGTAGTAGCACAGATATTAATTACTTTATAAACCAACATCTTAATTTAAGCACCGAAGAAGAATTTAGCACATAAAAGTAAAACTAGCAAACGCATTTACAAATCTTCTAACCTCTACATTAAATGATAACATTGAAGTGTATCTAAGCTAGCCACTAGTATGCATTTCCTACCTATGCTGATAGCTTTGATAGCTTTCAGCTTCTCTTTGACGTGTAGTGAGCTCAAGGGTTCAAACCGGGAGTGTTGCTAGCACTGGCCCTAGCAAGAGCAGTACTTGGCAGAATTTACCACCGGATCGGAAACGCGACCCACTAAGAAGATCCGGCGAGAAACTCTGTGGGCTGTGTCTGTGGGTTAATTTACTCGTCGAGCCCTTCGTCTCAATCGAAGGGTTCGGCGAGGACGGTGACCGGCTAGTATGCGTATGTGCGTCACATTCGTGTTTTATGAACAGACAATGTAACGAAAACAACTGCTGAACACTTCAGGTCACCGACCCCGTGCGAATGTGTACATTACGTGCTGTTCCAACAAATAAACAGCTTCTTAACGCGGCTTGCGATAAGAGTTGACTGGTAGAAGTCGTCACGTAAAAAACCTGTGTTGTGCTCTCGCTATCCGATTTCTCTGTCTCTCTCTCTCTCTTTCTCTATCTGTCTCTCTCTCTCTTTCTCTTTCTGTCTCTCGCTCTCTCTCTCTCTCTCTTTAATAAACACTTAATGAAGCAGGTGAGAGACAAAAGTTTCACTAGCCGTCCCAACTTCATTCGTATGGGTCAACAATGTTAAGGATTGTGAGACAACCGTCCTGTGAGGCGATAGCGACAGCTTTGCCTCCATGAGCGCTGGCCACGCCTGTGACTTCGGCCGGCGCCCGGTACTCAGCTATAGCACGACCGTCTATTGTTCTGTAAATATATACCAAGTTAGTGAGGTTATCAACTAGATCAAAAATCGAGGTAGCCAGACATAGGCGTTTGATATCGAAGTAAGATGGTCATAAACAATGTGGAGGCATAGACTTATTTGTCAAACTTTAGTGCGTCAGGCAAAGATCACACAAACATTGTTTTCTTTTAATGTCTTACGAATCATAATTCTAGGGGGGAAGTCTATTTTAATTAGGCAAATTTAATTCAATTTGCATTTTCTGACTCAAAAAAATAATTCAAATTACATTGAAGATTAAAATGTCTTCTGAAAAAATTAATATATCTTACCTGAAAACCCTCAGTGTTTTCCTGCCGCTGTGATAATAAAATACATAATGGTCTGTCGAGCTAAACATGGTGATGATGGAAAATACGCCTTCAGCCGCCCTGTATATAAGGGGGTGCACCGATGTTCCTCTCTTTAGTTCTATGAGGTCGAGCCCCCCTCTGGACGGCGCACATAGCCCCAACTTACCATCGCGAGTACATGCGCCATTCCAACGCGGAACAAATCTGGTGACAGGGAATCGTTTTAAAGGACATTTAACAATGTCATTATTTGTGCCAGTCAAGTGGGTCAATTGTTAAATTCTTGTCCACTGAATTGACGGTAGTCAAATTTTCTTAAACTAAACAAGTCTTGTGGATAATAACAACCAGACGATGACCGAGCGTTGCTCGGTTTTTTTTTTTTGATAACGCCATCTTGTTGTGTCTTTAAAGCGGTTAGTTGCCCTCAATTAAGAAAAACAGTATTATTATTCGCCAATAGATGTCAGGAAGAGTTGATTATTGAAAACAGGAATAAAACAACATTTTCTGAAAATAAATCGTAGCTAGATCGATTTATCGCCCCCGAAATCCCCTGTATACTAAATTTTATAAAAATCGTTCGAGTCGTTTCCGAGATTCAGATTATACATATATTAATATATATACAAGAATTGCTCGTTTAAAGGTATAAGATAAATCTGTTTCTGATATTGGATTGTGAGATTAATAATTGATGTATTTGCAATAAACATACCTGATGAGTCTTTTGCTTTTGATGTCCAATATACCGGCTTTGTCGTTACCGACGACTGCCACCCAGAGCGCCTTGTGGGGCAAGGCCACAATAGACTGCATGTCTTTGATGCCGCTGTTCTTAATTGGTATCCTATTTATATCAAGAAGTATGTTAGAATAGACATTTTGGGGAAAAGTATATAGAGAAGATCTTTCACCGAGCTGGTGAATTTGCTCTGTAGACCGACGTTCCGAATATTGCTGTTCATATTTTATACACATATAGCACCTTTAGAATTCACATCATTCTTCTGCCCCTCTCCAAGTATCGTGGGGTCGACGAAACATGTTTCCTCCCTACCTATTCCTCTAAAATATACCATTTCGATATCGATTATAATTATTCGTCGATATTTTAATCTAATTACTGTTTATTTTTCTATTAGAAATGAATATTGTGTTAATAACCATTTTTTTGCAATTCAAAAAATTTCATGCCTTACATGAAATGTGAAAAGGGTAATGAGATAAACACGATAATAAACTGTTAAAGTATTTTTTCATTTTTTTGTTGCTTAGACGGGTGGACGATCCACAGCCCACCTGGTGTTAAGTGGTTACTGGAGCCCATAGACATCCACAATGTAAATGTGCCATCCACCTTGAGATACCAGTTCTAAGGTCTCAAGTATAGTTACAACGGCTGTCCCACCCTTCAAACAGAAGCGCATTACTGCTTCACGGCAGAAATAAACAGGGCGGGGGTACCTACCCGCGCAGACTCACAAGAGGTCCTACGGAGTCCTACCACCAGTAAAGTAGTTTTAATTAAAGCATATCTATGCAAACCTATGTATCCTCGCTCCGGTTCTAGCATGGAATACATGTAGACAGTCCCTGGAGGACTTGTCCACTCCGGGAGCAACAAGATGATGTTCCTCTGCAGAAACCACAGCGGCTCTGTAGCCGGTACCCCGAACGTCGTATTCTGCTGTGTAAATTCTTTCACCGTCTATAAAATAGTGAATAATTCAAATCAAATTTGAGTTTTAATTTCCTATTAGTTACATTTAGGACTATTTGATCGGCAGGCCGGTTCTTCCATAGACGTCCACTGCTGGACATACCTCCCCCAAGCCTCGTCACAAAGACCGGTCCTGCGCTGCCTGCATCCAGCGAATCCCTGTGAACCTCAATAGATCGTCGGTCCATCTTGTGGGAAGCCTACCCACGCTGCGTCTTCCGGTACGCGGTCGCCACTCAAGAACTTTCTGGCCCCAACGGCTATCCGTTCTACGAGCCGGTTCACTGAACCTAAATTGAACTACAGTTTTTAAATTTTCTGTGAACTGTTTTTTATTTCCAAGTTCAGAAATGGTCTTTTTCGAAGTCCTTTTTTGTAAACAGCTTATCTATGCTCCTGAGTTTGCCAATATCCATAAGCGACGGTAACTACTTACTTCTAGGCGGTACTCTGAAAATTTCTTTAAATAATAATAAAAGTCTGTCACGAATTGAAGTGTCTAATGAGATGAGCTTGGAAAAATCTAGATATAATATTATTGGGCCTGATTATGTTTGTTTTAGTGTTAAGAATTTGAAGTTGACATTTATAAGCTTTGAATTAAAATCCTCATGATACGAGGTATAAAGATCTCCTTAAAATAGTACGTCACACAAAAACACGTTGTGGATATAAAATTTGTCTTAAAATTCGCCATCATAATAATTTATCAAACGAAATTGAAATCTGCTTACTAGTATTAACCAGCATTACTTAAATTAAAATTTTATTTAAGTACTCATATGACTTATATTTGCAACTCATTAAGCACATTAAGCGTGCATGTGTATGTTTCAAAATCCTATTCAGATTCTTGATTAGAATTGTATATACCAGGTATAGTTCTTGCCACGATATGAGCAACAGCGACGTTATCCGTGTTATCAGAGGGCACCTGCATGGATATCGTGATGAATTTCGTCCCGTCTTCTAGAAGCAGAACTTGTTTTACACCTTTTTGTTCTTCCTTGAAGATTCCCTGCACATAAGAGTTACTATGAAACGGAATAATGCATCTAACAATAAAAAGACAGGCAAATTAAAAGCTTCGTACAAGTCCGTTCATATTACTGGGACGACGTAATATGTCTTAGTTAATGCTTCCCTTAACGCTCTGACATAACTTTTTTTAAGGTAGACTTAAGAAAATCTCTCTACGGAAAACAACCTGTGTACCTGGTAGTACCCATGTCTACTGCAACGTGAGTGTCCTCTATTTGACCCCAATCTAGAGGTAGAGCCAGAGATTTCTACTCTGTGTTCCATAATGTGGCATCATCCCATTACTTCCAATGTCTTATATTTTCAATAGCAAACATGACTAAGAGATTCACTGGTAATGGGAATATCTAAGTATTATATACGCATGTAATTCCAAACCAGTATTTAATAGGCCGTGCTAGGAGAACGCAAGGGCGTTTTCAAAAATCGTGCCTATACCTGCGATGAAGCAATAATTCGCTCTGGATTATGGGGTAGGGTGGTCTTTGTAGTATATATTGATATCTTTATATCTTTTTTGGCCCTCCTTGTCTCCCTCTACCTCTCTAGAGGCGCCGGAGTGCGACATAATCCGGTTCGTTACCCCCCTCGACCGGGTATCCATAAATGGATTCCCCAGCGTAAAAAAAGGATGGTCTTTATACAGTCCATACTTGATTCACATGGCGTGACAGTTTTCGCGCTACATGGTTTGAAAATAATAATATTCATATACATTTTATACTAGACCAACAAAATTCTCAGAAGATTCCTTGTTTCTCGATTTGGAGCGAGACATGTGTAAGAGCTCTGTCTGTTTTTGTACCTGTTTTTCAGGAGTATCCCATATAATAACGCAGCCCGATTCCGCAGTGACTACGTGATCTCCAGTGGGCGTGATGACCGCGTGCGTGACGATGGCGCCGAGTGGAGCGTCCGCTAATTGCGCCATCAACCGACCGGTGCTCGTATCCCAAAGGCCCCAACAGCTACGAGTGACGGTTACCGCTAGTTGCTTGTCACGTGCTAGGCTATGGATAGGAAATATTGTTAAGCACTTCCTTCTGAGTCGTGTCACTTTTGACAGTGTGGTCGTGTCATCATGTTGGAGGGGGCAGACTTGATGCGTCTCACAATGCCACCTCTCCATGCTCGAGACTAATGTACTGAACTCATTTAGGGGAACAAATTAAAACTAGAATGGAAGGCCATTCTAGTTTTAATTTGGTTGGTCCACCGCATTGGTGACCTCCCACGCAGTCTTGTACCATCAATCCTTCCCTGTACAACGAAGTGTTCTATGGACCGGCCACTTCGCCGCGAAACGTGTCCGAAGAAATTCGTTGCTAAGCACTACATAGCCAATAGAGATTGGATCACATTGGGATATATTTTTTTAAATAATGTTCGAAAGATTGTTATAGATGAATTTGACCATCATCATTGCGTAGTTTTAATAAAATTTGATGTAACATAACATTTTTTAGGTTCTAGTAGCCAGCGTGCACAAAAATAAAGACAATGAACCAAAAGGTGTGTCCATGATAGTAGATGTGGTTTACCTTATAGAATCAATGGGCAGTTCTTGTCGATCAATCTTGTGCACTTGCTCAAATATGTTATCAATGTTCCAAATCTTGACAGTCCGGTCTATGGACGACGTTATCACATTGTTCCAGGCTCCAACCGTCAACGGTTCTAATTGGACTATTCTGCCAAAGTGGGCGTCCAGTACTTTTATCAGTGTTGTGGTTTCAAGACTCCAGACGTAAAGGTTTTTCCTAAAACCGACGTACAATTATATGTTCATAAATTTATTCAAATAGTTTTTAGAGGTGATTTCAAATAGCCGCAACTTCACGACTAATTTTGGATGCAATTTCACCATTGAAAGAAAATTAAGGGCCTGATTTTATATTGTAAATTCAGAAAATCAAACTTACCAAAACGCCACATATTTCTTACTAATTTAATACAAATCGAAGTTACATTTAGGATATTATTAACTTTATAGCTTCGAAAAGGCGTATCTTTTTAGCCCGTATACCTGTTAGGTGCTTTTAGGTACCACAAGCACCGGTCACCGTCCTCGTCGAACCCGTCGCTTGCGACGAAGGCTCGACAACCGAATTAACCCATAGACACAGCACACTGAGTTTCTCACCGGATCTTCCCAGTGGGTCGCGTTTCCGATCCGGTGGTGGATTCTGCGAATAACTGCTCTTGCTAGGGCCAGTGTTAGCAGCACTCCGGTTTGAGCCCCGTGAGCTCACCTACATGTTAGGGCGAAGCTGAAATAACCTCTCAAGGCTATCAGCATAGCTAGGAAAAAAAATCTGTTACTTTAAACGTACCTGACTCCAGCGACAGCGTAAGTATTGTTGTTGCTAATCATAAAAGAGTTCGATAAAGTCATTTTCGTGGATATATTTCGGATTGTATGTGGTAGCTTTAGCACGATACCGTGAAGGGATACGTTTTTCGTTGGTTCCTCGTTCATTATCTCGTCCTAAAATGTACATATAGGTATACTAATTTTCATCAGGTACGATATAAATTCTACTTACAGTGGTAAACATAATCTCTACAATTAATCCAATCAGAGTAATTCCTTCACGATTGTTTCAAATTCTTAGACTGGATTTGGCTAAATAATAACAGAGTCGCGTTTGTGAGACGTGATCGATGTTATTGTAGACCTTTTAATTTTAATCCTCACCTTCTTCAGGAAACGAATATAGGATCCGGTAGTTACCAAAAAGTCCTATTGACGATATTCCACCATAACTGATGGAGTATCTCTGATTTACTGTAATTATGGCTATAGCACCGTCTATATGGCTATACCGTCATACTGGTGGGAGAACGTCTTGTAAGTCCGTATAGGTAGGTGCCACCACCCTGCCTGTTTCTGCCGTGAAGCAGTAATATGTTTCGGTTGATTATGAGTTCCGATAACCATTTACCATAAGGTGGGCCGTGAACCACCGAAAAAATAGTCTCTCCTATCTTGGCTGCTATTAGAAGAACATATTGAGCTGACGGGTAGCTACCACGATTTCATCTTTCTTTGTCGCGAATTGGTAGTGGGTTGTGGTTTTAATGGTGGAAAACCGCATATAACACATATGAAGCTTTGAGCACGTGTCACACTGCCTCTATGCTTCGATCTCCACTTAACACCAAGTTGAGCATCAGCTAATCCGCTCGTCAAAAACAAAAACCTCAAATACTCATTAAACTCTTGAATCCTCTTGACTCCCTTGTTACTTACTTCTTTCTCAACGTCCTTCTTGTCTTCTTGTCCCTTCTTTTTTTTGTATTCTATCACGTGCTTATCTCGAGGAATCGCACCATCAAAATCCCACACCACGAAGCTGTAAGTTGTTGTGGCTGTAACGACAGTTATAATAATGAACGGTAAATAGAAAAATGGTATAACCTAAAAGAGACTTAGAATTCATATCTTAAGGTGTATATGTTGTTGATGTCTATGGGATTTGGTGACCATATAACACCAGGTAGACCGTGAGCTTCTCCACCCATCTTAGCAGTGAATAAAAAAACCATTCCAAAGTGATCCTTATGTTATGATCACCATATTTGAAATTTACATATTAACAAACGTAATATTTCGGCTATATTCATTTTGATGGGCCGTAAATTAAACCAAGACTAGTTTGCATGATTTCGACCTCCGCCTTTGGATATTGACAGTGTCAGGCCTCTGCCAATATTCCGACAGTTTCACGTGAATAAAGACCCATGTATTGGTTTTCGTCGTCACTAACCAAGCAACATTTTGTCCTTTTTCCCGCGTTTTAATTGGAGCATCGCTTCAGCGGTGTCCGTCTCGCGATGATGTAACTCTTCGATTTTGTCCCAACAGCCTTCTTCGTCATTGAGCTGGTAAATTGATATCTGGAATGGAGTGCGTAAAACTCACTTTAAAAGATAGTGAAAATCAATTACCGACAATATTATTACCTACTTGATGTAAAATGGCTGATATTTTCGCTCATTAAAGTCGGTCCTTACGTGGAGAAATGGTCCGTTTCTTTGAAAATAATGATTACTAAAATAATTAAATACGTTTGGCATTTCAGTTAGCAAGGTATGTAGTTACTTTTACTATACTTGTAACTGATTTCATAATTGTGTCAGTTTTTACGAGTCTATTCAAACTGCTTCTGCGAAGTGGTAGTCGTCCATGACCACGTAAACAGTAAGCATTCGAAGCATTGGAGCTAATGAGCTCAACTAAAGATCACCTGGTATCCTCTATCAGGGTCACTAGAGTAGATCTTGTTCCAGTTTTTGCTGAGAGCCATGGCACCTCTGCATCTCAGAGGCCGCATCCAAACTCCCTCCTTACAGAACAACACCAGCAACCTGTCTTCATCCAGATCCCCGCTCCACATAACAAGAACGAAGTTCTCCAAATCACGAAACTCCATTGCTAAGGTCGCATAATTTGTTACATTAGTAATTGCTCAATAGCTCAAGGCGTTTAAAACTGGACAATAAGACATTATCATCATTCAGATCATACTGTTATATCTATCTGGTTTTTTTTCCTACCTATGGTGGTAGCCTTGAGGGGCTATTTCAGCTTCACCCTAACGTGTGTAGGTGAGTTCACGGGGCTCAAGCCGGAGTGCTGCTAACACTAACCCTAGTAAGAGCAGTGCTTCGCAGAATCTACCACCGGATCTAAAACGCGACCCACTGACAAGATCCGGCGGGAAACTCAGTGGGCTGTCTATCTGGTTGTTTATCAGAGCACATGTGAATGATATGCCTACTAACTTTATATATTGTTGCATAATATATAAGTGGAATATATTATGGCCCTCTTGTTGTGAAGAGTCCATGGACGTTAATGTCTCTTTCACCCAGCTATAGATGTGAGATTGAAGACTCAAATAGCAAATAATTGTTATACCTGACAATACGGAATGCATGGCGGCAAAAATACAGAGGTGGGTGGGCTCATTCAATACGTTCACCCGCTTGTTCAAATACCGGTGTGCAAACAGTTCAACAGTAATCACAAACTTATTTTAATTGTTAAGCTATAGATCATTATCATCTGCCCTTAGTAATTCCTATTTTGAAATGTTTGATTCTATTATTACTGTAGATAATATATTGACGAGCCTAACAAATCTACTAACTATTATCAAGACCCACAACTCTCAAGTGCTTAAGGGAGCATAGCATGAATAATTCGCGACAGAAATGGGCAAGATTACGTTACCTACTTGTTCCACAATATGCCCCACAAACTATAAATTACCATTTGCAAGCTGCTAATATTTAGAAAACACTATTTGGTTTGTCCCCGTTTTTTGGTGATCCTTTAGACGCCTTCCATAAGAGGAGTAGGGATAGTGCAAATCTGTATTAGAAGATCTAGTTTGGTCGGAAAGTGTCATTTAGTCCTGATCAAGAATAACGGTTCTCCCTAAGCGTATTTCGTGTATGCTGATATCATTCATCCTGTGGTGTCTGTCGACTCTGGCATCTGTTACATAAGGTATCTTTTTTTTATTGCTTAGATGGGTGGACGAGTTCACAGCCCACCTGATGTTAAGTGGTTACTGGAGCCCATAGACATCTACAACGTAAATGCGCCACCCACCTTGAGAAATAAGTTCTAAGGTCTCGGTATAGTTGCAACGGCTACCCCACCCTTCAAACCGAAACGCATTACTGCTTCACGGCAGAAATAGGCAGGGTGGTGGTACCTACCCGTGCGGACTCACAAGAGGTCCTACTACCAGTTAGTTATGCTGATAAGAAAATAACAGTGTGTGTTTACAAGTGTGCTCGGCTGTTGGTTCTATAAGAGAATTTTTGTTTCCATCTATCGTGGCCGGAAATTAAATCTTTGACATTTGGTTTTTTTTCACTGAAAATATACGCATTGCTTACAGAGTATCTCCCATTCGACGTCGTCATACGGGGCGGTATCGGGAGCAGGAATTGTATTCTCGTGTTCACCCCTCATGCTGTACTGGACCCAGGAGCGAGGACCGTAAATTATCATGTGATGATTGAGGACGGAAACTCCTCGGACTGTTTCCCCTTTAAGTTATATTTTTATTAGATAGCGACTGGCGTGAAAAAGGAACCGAAACCACCAAGAAAGATACTCTAATTTGAAAAAGTAATAACGATAGTAGAAAACCTTTCCTTTTGTTGAACTCCACTCTCACTATTTTTGGTCAACAAGAAGTTCCAATGAACCTAAAGATTTTACGAGGGACAAAACAATACATTTTTATTAAATTAACTGAGAAGTATGAGATTTTTATGGCTTCCTTCCACCGTAGATCTTAGTATTCATTATCGGTAATTGAGTTTGAAAGTTTAACTTAATAACTCTATACGTTCTTGAGAAAAAAAATTCTAAAGTGTCAAATGAATAGAGGAACCATTTTTGGAAAAATAATTTAAACTGATAGAAATCTAAGATTTTTACGAACCATTTTGAGCAGGGCCTAAAAGTTTTTGTGGACGTGAACATCGCTATCACTGCGAAAATATTTTTCTGATTTAAAGAAGATGCTTACCTTCATCAAGTGGATTATCAATGGTCACATATTCACTGGTCAGCATGTTCAACAACATGGACTAGAATAAAACAATATCAATGTTACTATTTTTTTTAATATTAGTTTTTTGCATCCTTAAATGTTATCACAATAAGGTCATGTATCAATTTTCTTGATTAGGATAGAATAATTTAACATTATCATGTTTATTGATAGTTAGACGTCGCAGCATTTGCGTATTAAAAAAAGGAAGATACTTTGACGACTAAATCAACATTTAACAAAGAACTGAACAATTTTACTCACGACAGAGTTATTCGTTGAAGCAGCGGCCCATTTATTGTCCGGTGAGAGCTCCAGATTCTGCATAATACCTTCCAATTGTGGACATAGATCTCGAGCCAGGTCCGAAGTGGAAAGATCCCAGGATATAACCCTACTAGAGATTGACACAACGTAGCGCTTGTCCGAGCTGAGGCGGAATGCGAAAACAGCGAATTGGTGACCTTCTAAAGAATACTGAAATAATAAAAAAATTGCGAAAATCACCAATAAGTCTGCGATAATGTTTTCAATGGTGGTTAACGCAGTACATAGAGGTCAGAACGTATATTCTACCAATCAGTTTGACACATGAGGTTCAAGTTTCAATTTCAATTTCTGTCCTACCTTCTAACTGGAAACTATAACTTTTTTGTTTATTTATTGCTTAGATGGCTGAACGAGCTCACGGCCCACCTGGTGTTAAGTGATTGCCAGAACCCATAGACATCTACAACGTAAATGCCGCCACCCACCTTTAGATAAGAGTTCTAAGGTCTCAGTATAGTTACAACGGCTGCCCCACCCTTCAAATCGAAACGCATTACTGCTTCATGGCAGAAATAGGCAGGGTGGTGGTATCTACCCGTGCGGACTCACAAGAGGTCCTACCACCAGTATAAACTATAACTGCATCACGGCAAAAATATACAAATTTATTATACAAACTTGAGCGCTCTCGCAATACGCCTTGTAATAACTGATTACAACAATTATAACCCTAACCTTCAAAGGACCGCCCGGGGTGTGTAAGCAATGGTGGGATGGCAGTAAAGCGCAGTGATTTTTTCCTTTATCGTGACATTGTTTCAGCAGAGACGCTACAGCAGGATTATGAGGAGCCTCCGGCAAAAGTCTTCCAACCAATTGGGGCGCCAACATATCAGGGTATGTACCCAGAATAGCACCACCAAGACGCAAAGCATCTGCTACTAGCATTAATTCTCTGAAAATAGATGTCCAATAAATTTTGCATCAAACATCCTGAGTACGTACCAGTGGAACTCTCATACTAATTAAGGTAAAATGAAGTTCTGTCCTCCAGTTAATACTACAACTTGGTGCTTGTAGGTAGACGTATTCTTCCCTAATTCCTATCCTAAGTACCGATTACATTTGTCCTCTTGAATATGGTCGAGAGTACGGTCGTCCTAATTAGGACCACCACTTATAACCAATTGCTTATAAGTGCTCGTAGACATCAGCAATACTAAGACCAGTAGATCCGAGCCTCATCAAAATGGCGTTGAGTACATGTATTCTTGGTTAATTTGATATCTGTTTTCTGAGATATCGTTGCATAATCTTCTCCATGTGAATCTGTCCATCTTCAGCAGCCTTTAGTGCTTCAGGCAACCAATTAACAAGTTTTGACCAATAGGAAGGTGATTGACCAAATAGTCTTTATTGTGCTAGAGACTAATAAAAACTGCACAAAGTTTCAGTCCAATCGTACCATAGCCCCGCGAATAGTGCCGATTTATTCAACTAAGACGATATTATGTAATACCTCACTGCGTCTTTATTAACATGTAGTTTAGCATCTTCGAAATCAGCTAGGACAGCTTGCAGAGGACAGCAGTTTAGTTTCGCGTGAAGCCACTCGTAGTTAAAGAGAACTTCTGCGTATAGATCGGTGAATCGCTTCGATCTTACCAAATGAAATGGCAATTCTCCAAACTGTCGACAATATTGAGTCTTCTGATTGTTATGGTAAGGTATTATTTAAACGTGCGTGGGTTTCTGTTATTTTATTTTTATTTCTTAGAGGTGCGGACGGTTCACTTGGTTTTAAATGGTTACCGGGGCCCATAGACATCTGCAATGGTATGTAGGTAAGGCAACAACGTCGAGTCCTTAACAGTTCACATAAGAAAGACTAGCGCCAGCCTTCCTTGCACTAGGACTTTTTGGACCAAACCACAATGTGCATTTTCCAGTCTTTTCTTTTATTGCCCTTGTAGGCAGACGAGCATACGGCCCACCTGATGGTGAGTGGTTACCGTCGCCCATGGACTTCAGCAATGCCAGGGGCTGTGTCAAGCCGCTGCCTACCGCTTAATACTCTTTACAAGCCTCTTTTAAAGAAGAACATGTCATAACGCTCGGGAAACACCGTGGAGGGGAGCTCATTCTATAGCCGGATGGTACGTGGCAAAAAAGACCTCTGGAAACGCACTGTCGATGAACGCAGCGGTTCCAGATGATATGGATAAACTCTGCTCCCATGGTCTTCTATATACCTTTCGTAAATTGTATCTCTTGGATGTTCCATCGGCTGACATGAAGACCAAAGGCTGAAGTGGGACCTTCCTGTCAGCCACACCCTCCCTATCCGCAAGATTGAACCGATGACGCTGGATTTCTGTATACTTGAACGGCTTTGGTACACCACCACCCCAGATACCTAAGTGTAAATATTTTGTAATGTATTAGTGTTCTAACAAAAGCATGATAGTAAATCTGGCTATTGTGAGAATTCATTGTAAAACATTTAAATATGGTAATCGTGATTAAGAACAACCAGACTTTTCGACTCTCATACACTTGTAGAACAAAGTTTATCGAGGCTCTCATGAAAACCGAGAATTTAATAAGGCCTTATCTAAAAACAATGTTTATTGCAAAACTATCCTAGATATAAAATAATAATGAAACACTATTTTACGAGCCACTGTTTACTTTAATCTTTGTGGGCTTTATTTTTCCTTCTACTTTCTGGTATGTCAAAGAAAATTCAAAGTCAACTAATGGCTACCTACCGAGGTAGTAATCAGCAATCATAGAATGAAAGTACATCGCCATGTTCATATTCTTGAAGTATCTCTCGCGGGCTGTGTCACGAAACTGCCTGTGGTACCAGTTCATCACGGAGACACCGTCGGCTTCGCGTTCAGAGAGGTAGTTAGGCAAATCGTTACGGATCCTGATAGTAAAATAAATACATTTAACCTTTACCTTTCAAACTTTACAAAGCTCGACTGTTATTAACATGTCCGCTCTTGGCTGAGCCTTTTGCTCGCCCACCTATCCTGGTGAAACTGGAAAGGCCTCCGGGTCACCAGTAATTCCTCAATTATTAAAGTTTCTTTTCGCTTTCATATTGTTTGGTTATTTATGGCATATTGTTCTAATGCATAATACTAAAAATAATGATTATTGTTATCGGCCCTACTAGCTCCAGACCACAGAATTTATGGTAGTCAAAAATACTGGTTGCATTGTCATATACTCATTACCAATATTTTAGCTTCAAAGTTAACTTTTTTTTCCTACTTAAACTGATGGCCTTGAGAGGCAATTACAGCGTAATCCTAACAAGTAGGTGAGCTCACGGGGCTCAAAGTTGGCGATGTTTCTAACACTAACCCTAGCAAGAGCAATACTTCGCTGAATCTATCATCGGATCGGAAACGCGACCCATTGAGAAGATTCGGCGAGCACTCAATGGGCTGTGTCTGTGGGTTAATTCGCCGAGCTTTTCGTCGCAAGTGACGGGTTCAATGAGAACGATGACCGGAAAAGTTAACTGTTGAATACTCTTCAAAACTTATGCTCTATTCGAGAGATTTCCAGAGGAAAGTGAACGTGTGACTTATTCAAAACAATTAACCTAGTATATAAACGGATTTTTATTTACTTAGATGACTTTTGTTTTAATCATATTTTACTGCACAAATTAATGGTACAGAATTGAATAACCACTATTTAGAGATATCGTAATATGAACCATTTTGTGTATTCAAAAACACTTTACAATTCGACGGATTTCTTTATTATGTTTTACCTAGTCCAAAGCAGAGGAGGAATTCTCCTGACAGGCGGCAAATGGTACTGGTAAACGTCGTCCAAGACTCTGTCGTCCAACGATATGAGATCTTCAAGTTCCGTCTCGGAAAGACCGCTGCGGGCTGCCGTGATGTAAGCCAAAGCGTGAAAGACCAGTAGACGTCCATGCTAAGGAGACGAATGACAATGATGACTTGATAAAGTTGTATTTCGATATCCTCTATGAAAATATGCTTATTCCTTTTCAATCTTTGGAGCGAAGTGAAAAAAAACCGATAGAATTGAAATACAAGATGTAGTAAGTCAACGGGATCCAGACGTATTGCAAGTTCATACAAGTCATCAGTGATGTGGATTGGGAGAGGCGTATGTCCAGCACGACTGTGGGCTAATGATGATGGGTCATCACTGTTCTGTCTATTTCTGAGCAGTCACATAAGTAGCCATTAAAAATACCAATGAAACTTCGAACTTATGTTTAAATTTCCGGGTTCCGGCTCAGAGCTTAGGCCTCTCTAAGCAACAAAAAAAATTATACTATAATGCTATCTCCTGCTTCTCCTTGCTCCTTGCTCCTCAGTGTTGAGCGTCGTGACCTTTGCGGAGCATTTTTTTTTGGACTATGTTCCTCCATTCATTCTTGTTCTCTGCGAAGTGGATAGCAACATTGATGTTCAAATCCAATGCCGTCTTAATTTGATCCAACCATCTCATAAAACTACGCCCCCTTATACATATAAACAGCATTTATTCTGATGAAAATTGCTATTAGTGACGAAACCTGTTTTTCGATCCTCTCAAACAACATCATAATCGAGTCCATGACTGTAGAAGCGAGGTGGGTATCCTGAGGCTTGGTGTAGCTTCTCCATCTGCAGACCTGTGAAGGAACAGTATACAGATACAATGGAATTATAAATACGAGCTGGATACTGGTGGTAGGACGGGTGAGTCCGCACGGGTAGGTACCACCACCCTGTCTATTTCTGCCGTGAAGCAGTAATATGCGTCGGTTTGAAAGGTGAGGCAGCCGTTGTAACTATACGGAGACCTTAGAACTGATATCTCAAGGTGGGTGGTGCATTTACGCTGTAGATGTATATGGGCTCCAGTAACCACTTAACACCAAGTGGGCTGTGAACTCGTCCAACCATCTAAGCAATAAATAAAAAAGAGCTTACGGCTACCCGTTCACAGCTCCGTTTTCTGGGCTATTCTAGAAATTCGGCGAACCCAAAAAAAGAATCATTAATAGTTTTACTACAGTTAAAATGGTACCGATGACTATTATAGAAAATGTTTCAATTCCATTTGAAAGAAAATTATCTGCATGACTGGCTCCTAGAGCCGCTGAAAATCATGTTAACAGTGTTCTCGATACAGTGTTTTCATTCTCAAACCATAAAGGCCATAACAAAAAACACTGCTGCCGATATTGTTGTAAGATGGATACCTAGATAAAATGTTAAGCTTTACCTCTGCAAAAACAAGTTTCACGAATATCGGTAAAGAGCATTGCCCAATGGCATTAGAAACCAAACGCCACTGGTAATTTGTGAGATCTCTGGCTGCAGATGCCATCCACAATCTGAAAAACGGTTTGTAGTTTCTACAAGCTTCATCTATACTTAATACCTATATTTGATATTGAAAATGTAAAAGTTTGCATAATTGGGTTTACGTGACTCAATCGCGCACTATATAATCCACACACGTTTTATGTCAAATGACATGATTCGGGAATTGGATAAATCAGCTATACGAATACGATACGATACTGTTTTATGAATTTACATCCAAACGAGTATAGAAAACGACAAATAGTTTATGATTCAGAGAGTGAACACGAGGAACTTTTTATCGCAGGAAAATACAAGGCCTTTCATTCATTCATAATAACAAATTTAAAACGAAAAAAAACCGCAGAGCAACTCACTAGCTTGAAGCTTTCATCATTCACTTAGTTACTAAAAAATATATACAGAGAACTGTTTTTGGGACTTCAAATAAAAATAAACAAAGTTTGCTTTTCCACTGCAAAAGCTGGGGATATTTACTGAGAATAAACCTAGAATCTAAAGTGATGAGCTCAAAACCAAACCGTTTCGTCAATTTCTTACTTCAGAACTTGCATGGCCAGATCTTCGCCGAGAGCTTTGACTTCTAAAAAGCTGTCTTCTGAGTCAATCATCCTTCGAAGTACGTCATATTCTTTGGAGACATCTGGATTAGCTTCTTCGCACGCACATGTTACAATTATCTTCAAAGAGTAATGGAAAATTATACGATTAAGGGCAATAAATAAAACAGAAAGTATGGTAGCTGTTTTTACTTAGATGTAGATCTCAAAACATTACACATCATATCGTTTCAATGTGCCAAAGCTAATATAAATGTACTAAATTTAGTGTCGAGAAAACGTAGTTGTTGGTAGAAGAATGAAAGAACAATATTAAAAAAAAAAAAAAATCTCGTCAAAATCTTACCTTGCAGTGTGGTGGCAATCTTGTGGGTAGCCAAGATACTTTATTGTTTTCTGTGCCAATGCCAGTTAGCTGATCAACGGAATCTAAAAAGAGTAGTAGGGGTTGGTTCTGGCTTGCCATTGTCAGTAGCTGTTTGAAATGAGCAGTCAGGGGCACGAGGTCGTCTGGGATGCTCTCGAAGGGAAGGGCAAAGTTGTAGGATATCTTAAAGAGAAACAAATCAATTTCTAATTATTAAATCGAAAAAGACAGCAGTTAATGAAGATAAGAAGTTGTAGTCTCAAAGTCTCATTGCCCATCTAATTGCCAATGTCCAATGATAAATTAAATATGAAAACATGGAAACATATTTAAATTCATTTCGAATTTGGTCTCATACGCAATATATGTACATACACTAATTTAGATAAAAATTTAATAGACAAAAATGTTTTATAAGCTTAAATCAACTGACCTGTTGACAAATTGAGATAAGCGTCGGAGTTAAGGCGCTGGAATCGGGTGTAGTTCCAAGGAATCTGATGATGTTTGTAGGACGGGCATCTGCGAACCATGTATCGAGAGACATGGCGGAACTCTTGGCTAATAAACTGGTCTTTCCGCAGCCGCCTAGTGAATTTGGAAGCATAATTACAGCTTTCAAAGATAAACGAACATAATGATGCTAAGAACCGAAGAATTGCTTCCGCCGGCCTATTGCCTTTTCTATTTTATTTTAAATGTTAATCTACTCATAGAGAGGCTGCGTGGATTTTGACTCCATTGGACGGTGTCTCATGTTTGAACTATTTTAAGTGATTTAAACATTGTTTAATTCTTTATTATTATGAAGGATTCTCTAAAAAAAACATATTCTTTATTATTATTATTATTATTCTGCTTCTTCAATTTATTTATTATGTTTTAACATGTGCTTTAAACCAACGTGATCTAGCGAAATGAAAAATATTTTAAGCCAAAACAGCCTTTTAGTCTTACTAAGTAAATTCGCACCGTGGTAGTAAAACTTGCAGAACTTAATTCCAAAACCACTTTTTAATTTTAGATTTTACCTTCACCATACAAAACCAATGGTTTATCGGAAGCGTCTTTCATATAGTCCTCGATGAATTTCAAATCTTCTTCTCTGCCATGAAAAACTTTGACAGAATTATTACAAGCATGTAAATGCTGCAGGATTTCTGTTACAATTTGACCTTGTGCGCTACTGTCTTCTTTACGCATTGCCCTAGAAAATAGACAAGGATTTTTGAAGTGAAACTTCTTTAGACGTGTTGATGGTTGAATTTAACTCGCTTATTCGTTACTGTTAAAGAGAAAAGATACAATTTAGTAAGAGCGGGAGTGAGAAAATAGACAGAGTGTCTCGGGAACCACTCGACCATGGAAAGTTGGAAAGGACAAGGAAAGCTAGGTCGTTTCTCTTATACACAGCATTCCTTATTACAAGAGAAATTTCATTTAAGGACGCAAAATGAAGAAATCCACAATACTACACACCGCAAAAGAAGTTTATTTAAGAATTTATCTATTTTCTCATTTGAATGCTAATTGATTTATTTCATTCTTGTCACATTATTGAATGATGAAGAATCATCATTTAAAAATGAAAGACCTTTGGCAACGTATGTTATTTATATACGGTATTATATGATATAAAGTGTGAATAAAAATACAATAGTAAATTAACCTGTCGACCAATTTGATAATGTTCTTATAAAAATGAGCAATGAAATGGTTGAGATATTCGCTGTGCGTCTCTGTATCTAGACCGTCTCGACCGATCCATTCCACGGTATACCTGTAAACATAAAGATAAAAATGCTCGCATCGATGCAGTCAATTAACATAACAAATACACAAAGAAGGATACAAAGATAACAATCATTATTTAAACAATAGAGATTTCTTATCCTTTCGCAAGTCGTAAACTTCGCCGGTTTTTATCCTTTGTTTCTAAACAATTAAATCGTACAAAATAATTGGATCTAATTAATAACCTAAAATAATAATTGGATTTCCCAATTTATCTATATTTTTTGCATTTCTTTTCAGTAAAAAAAAAGTTAGATTAAAAACCAATAAAAAAGCACATTGAGTTTCTCGCCGGATTTTTTTCACTGGGTCGCGATTCCAATCCGATGGTAGGTTAAACGAAGTACATACTTACTGCTCTTGCTTTCGGAGATGTTAGGAAATTCTTTCAGGCTGACTCCCGTCATCTTGCTCACGAGTCATGGTGAAGGCAGAATAACCACTAAAGGTTACTAGCAGATAGGTAGGCAACAAAAAAGGTGTGGTAAAATTTTAAGCTACAGAAGTCGGTCGTCTTTGAGTTACACTAAAAAATCGAACTTTTTTGTTTGTTTGATTGGTTGGGTGGACGAGCTCACAGCCCACCTGGTGTTAAGTGCTTACTGGAGCCCATAGATATCTATAACGTAAATGCGCCACCCACCTTGAGATATAAGTTCTAAGGTCTCAGTATAGTTACAACGGCTACCCCACCCTTCAAACCGAAACGCATTACTGCTTCACGGCAGAAATAGGCAGAATGGTGGTACCTACCCGTGCGGACTCACAAGAGGTCTTACCACCAGTAATACTTACTTCTGAATGTTGGTTGTCTCAATTTTATTCGGCAATCTCACATCCCTCAAGTCAGCAAGTAACTTCGAAGCCTCCGCATCAAGACTCCTGTTGACGATGTCCACGAAATTGCTGGCTTTCTTCAGGTTTTGAAGGTTGATGTTGTTGATATACCTCACGTAGGCCAGACAGTGATTTTTTGTATTCTTCACGTTTAAAATTCCGTTGATAACTTCGCGTTCCGTTACTAGAATTGTTTTGAAAGAGGAAAATTATTTAAGCAAACGTAAAGTACCTTAAAAGATATGAATGTATAGCTGTGAATGTGAATTTTAGGTCGGCTTTTATTGGAAGTTACTGTACAAAAGTATTATAATAGAACCATCACGAATGCCATGGTATTTTTTATTTTATTTTTCTTAGTGAGAGAATCTCGTGCTCCTGTTTGATCTTTTTTTTTATTGCCCTTTTAGGCAGACGAGCATACGGCCCACCTGATGGTGAGTGGTTACCGTCGCCCATGGACTTCAGCAATGCCAGGGGAAGAGCCAAGCCGCTGCCTACCGCTTAATACTCTCCGCGAGCCTCTATTAAAGAAGGACATATCATAGCACTCGGGAAACATCGTGGAGGGAACCTCATTCCATAGTCGGATGGTACGTGGCAAACATACCTCTGGAAACGCACTGTCGATGAACGCAGCGGTTCCAGATAATATGGATGAGCTCTGCTCCGATGGTGCAGAGAGGCGAGTTTTTTCCTATCTATTCCTTGGTAGCCTAAGGAGCTATTCCAGCTTCTCGCAGACAGGTAGGCGAGCTCGCAAGGAAAATCTGAGGGAGTTTGTTAACACTCGTTCTAGCAAGAACAGTGCTTCGCAGAATCTATCACTGGGTCGGAAACGCGACTCACTGAAAATATCCAACGAGAAACTCAGTGAACTGTGTCTATGGGTTAATTCACTCGTCGAACTCTTCGCTGTAATCGACGAGTACGATAATGTCCCCTAATTGTATCAAAAAAATCGGTTTTATATAAGTACTAATGCGCCTATCGTAGCCTATCTTAATTTACGACTATGATAGAAACCTCAGATGATTTAGGAATGCCTAAAGAACAAACATGATATTCAGTTATATACCTATACATAGATAGAATATACTTAATAAATTAAGTAATTTGGTCATGCTTGTTATTGTTATTGTTTTGTTTCACATAAATTATAAAACTAATTTTCTAGATTAACAATAATTTTCCTATAGTTTAAGCTATTTCTATGCCGAATTTCATCATTTCGAATTTATTATATTAGGATGATTGGTTTACTGAATATTACAATAAGCAACGGTGGAATTATGAAGGCTTATTGAAATTTTAAAAGGTTCGAAATTCTTGTGCTGCTCTTTAAATGAGATATTTATAGATGATGACCAGAAGTTTCCTCTATGCTATGTTAAAAATGCTTCCTTATCCATCCATTTTTTTATCTTCTTTAGCCTTGATAAACGAATCACAGCAATTACTAAATTGTTATGTCATTTTGATTTTGCTTTCACAACCCAAAGACCTGTTTCTTTTTTATTTAAATCACTACATGGTATAAAACAAAGTCGCTTTCTCTGTCCCTATATCTGTATGTCCCTATGTATGCTTAAACCTTTAAAACTACGCAACGGATTTTGATGCGTTTTTTTTAATAGATAGAGTGATTGAAGAGGAAGGTTTATATGTATACAGCATCCATTAAATAGTGGAGAAATCAATAATGAATTACAGTTTCCGAAGCGAAGCGAGGGCGGGTCGCTAGTGATTCAATAATTGTCTTTCTTTAGCACTAACCAGACATGAAGTAATTGTGCATTGTGTCTTTATCGATTTTTCCGGCGTTGTACAATTGCAATGAAGCTTTCCGGAAAAGCTTCTGCATCTTTCCAAGAGTGTCCCACCAGATTGCTTGATCTTCAGCTTGGAGTTTGGGCACCCTCTGAAATATGGCTAAGTTAAATTTTGGCTAAAGTAGAATGTCGCAGTATTTAGGGCCGTCCCTACCTTTACTGGTACATATTTGAGTTCTATGTTATTATGAATACTTGTCTTGCTAAGTTTTTTTTTTATATTGCTTAGATGGGTGGACGAGCTCACAGCCCACCTGATGTTTAGTGGTTACTGGAGCCCATAGACATTTACAACGTAAATGCGCCACCCACCTTGAAATATAAGTTCTAAGGTCTCAAGTATAGTTATAGCGGCTGCCCCACCCTTCAAATCGCATTACTGCTTCACGGCAGAAATAGGCAGGGTAATGATACCTACTCATATGGACTCACAAGAGGTCCACCACCAGTAATAATTTAGGTTAAACAAAATAAAAAAGTGTCTTTTTGAAAACGCCGACAAATATTTAAAGTTACCAGACTATTTGAACTTAAAAATAAGAAAATAAATTAATTAAATACTAAATTAACAATATTAAAATAATATTAATATTAGTAAATAATAAGAATAATAATTTAATAACTAAAATATATAATTAAAAGGAGTCCCTTTAGGCATGGTTCCGAAGATACTGGCAGCGTTCCCTTTGAATAGCTAGACTAATCCTTTGTCCAAGGTAGCTGCCAGCTCTTCGGTATTAACTTCGTAATACAAGATGACTTCGTTTAGAGGTCAGATTGTCTTGAACCTTGAAAAGGGCTTCGTTCGAAAATAATTCCCATTAAATGAATGTCTGAAATATAATTTCTTATATATCTGTATTTATATAATTAACCTTATTATTGAAGTTAATCAATATAGATGAAATAGGCTGAAGAACTGATATAGGTGGAACAGCATTCGAATCCTTTTTGTACCAAGTGTCTAGAAGTATGACGTCCACACCACCAGCTGCTAGTTCCTCTCTTAACATCTGTAGCTCTGACGACAAGACGTAAGTGGGAATTGGCCTGGAAATATTATTATTTTCTCAGAAATACAAACAAACCTCTTAAACATAACGAACATGGTGGTTTCGACAAGTATTTTTTGACCAGGGCACCATGATGTCTAGTTTGTGAAACCAAATGCACTATAAGCCATGTCCAGGCTTAAACTTAGAACTGTTTTTTTTTATTGCTTATATGGGTGGACGATTTCACAGCCCACCTGGTGTTAAGTGGTTACTGTAGCCCATATCATCTAAAACGGCTGCCCCACTATTCAAACCGAAACGCATTACTGCTTCACGGCAGAAATACGTAGGGCGGTGATACCTGCCAGTGCGGACTAACAAGAGGTACTTACTACCACCAGTAAATATGTGTCCAGCGGATTTTTTGTCCACCTTATTGACGTGGCCACATGGCTGTCGTTTATCTTTGATTTTACATTTTAGCTGTATTTGAATAGACCAGATAGTAGCTACAAAAAGGGATACATTGTAGTCTATTTTTTGGACTTTAAAGCTTTAGAGCCCACCTTACGGTGAGTGATCACCATTGCTCACGGATACTGGCCATGCCAAAAGCACAGTAAATGTGACGTACGACTACAAGATGTATATCATCAGTAACCAACCTGTAGCCATATTTTTGACCCAAAAAAACGACAAAATTAGGCCCCATTGATAGCCTCTGGCAGTTCTTGATCTCTCTCATACACAGCTCTGTGGTCATATGATCGTCTGTGGCCTCATCTCTTACTCCCCATCGCATATCCACCACCTAAGGATATAAATTGAATTTTTTTTGTAAACTTTATTTTCTTATTAACAGCTAAGAAGTCATCCTAACCTAAGAAGACTATGTCAGCCTTCAAATGTCATCAGCACATACTTTAAAATGCATACCGTTCTTACTGGTGTTGGGACCTCTTGTGAGTCCGTACAGGTAAGTACCACCACCCTGCCCATTTCTGCCGTGAACCAGTACTGCGTTTCGGTTTGAAGGGTGGGGCAGCCGATGTACTAAACTGAGACCTTAGAACTCATATCTCAAGGTGGGTGGCGGCATATACGTTGTAGGTGTCCATGGGCTCCAGTAACCACTTAACATCAGGTGGGCTGTGAGCTCGTCCACCCATCTAAGCAATAAAAAATAAACCAATTTTTCGTATGAAACACGTACTTAACACAATATGCACGAATAAATACCACCACAAAAAAAAAATAGGGTGAAAAAAGTAAAATCGCCCAACAAAATTTTGCTATGTTATTACTGGTAACAGGGTATCCTGTGAGCCTTCACGAGTATTAACATTCTCCCTATTTCTACCGCGAACTAGTTCCGGCTTAATAGCTGTCACGTAATTCAAACGTGAAAACGCGACTATTTTGCATCAAAAATAGGCCCACTTCGATAAAGCGGCACGTCACGAGAACCCTCTCATCGTGGCCACCGGTAACTACATTCCCGATCCTGCGGACAGAATGGAATGCAGTCGACGTCACCCCAAACACGTCATTTAGGATCCTCCCGATCCACTAACGGTGCTTTTAGGTACCTCAAGCACCGTTCATCGTTCCCGTCGAACCTGTCGCTTGCAACGAAGGGCTCGATGAGTAAATTAGCCCTCAGACACAGCCCACTGAGTGTCTCTCCGGATCTTCTCAGTGGGTCACGTTTCCGATCCGGTGGTAGATTCTGCGAAGTACGGCTCTTGCTAGGGTTCGTGTCAGCAACGTCGTCAGGTTTGAGCCCCGTGAGCTCATCTACTAGTTTAGGTTACGCTGATATAGTCTCGCAAGGTTTTCAGCTTAGGTAGAAAAAAAAAACAGAAATAGGCAACATGGTAGTACTTGTGGGAGTTCACAATGCGACTTCCCAGCAGCAAAATTGTTTGAGCTTTTTGGCATTCCAGACGCATAGAAGAAAATCCTTGGGAACGTTAACTGTAAAACGCTTTCTTCACAAACATCATGAGGTCTGGGTACAATATACATACAATGTTCGGTGCAATGCGACTGCGTTCACGAACCCGTAAATATACCGACCGAAAGTACAACGACCAATGCAAGAATAGTAACAGTTCAAAAACATTATTACTATTTCTCGTAACTCAAACAATTCCGAAGCGTCGATAAACTTTAGTAATTTTAGTTTTGGAGAACATTGCGTTTGCGCACGTGGCGCAGCTTCCGTTGACCGAAATAGAACGAGCTGAGTGAGGGTGAACGTAGCTTTTTGTAAACTTTCCAACGTTTCTAAGTTACGTTTTAGAGCTTTCGTAAATACTAATAATAATGAACGAACGGAAGTTGAGAATTTGCTTCGTATTTTCGTAAACCTTGTATAGCAGCAGAAAAGCGCGTGTTGACTTTAAAAAATGGGCACTAGCAAGTGTTTCCAGACTGTTTGGGCAACATTGAGAATCCACAAGAAATCTTCCACATGTTGGTCTATAGATGCACTGATCACCTCACTCAGCCTGGCTTGAAATAAATCGTGTGGCTCTTTTTTTTTATTGCTTGGTTGGTTGGACGAGCTCACAGCCCACCCGGGGTTAAGTAGTTACTGGAGCCCATAGACATCTACAACGTAAATGCGCCACTCACCTTGAGATATAAGTTCTAAGGTCTCAGTATAGTTACAACGGCTGCCCCATCCTTCAAACCGCATTACTGTTTCACGGCAGAAATAGGCGGGGTGATGGTACCAACCCGTGTGGACTTACAAGAAGTCCTCTACCACCAGTATAAAAAGCATCGAGTGTAATTTTTCTATTCATTCATGTAAGCTATCAAACTCGAATTAGTGGTTAGTGATTCAGTACCGCTTTACAAAATCCAAGTTTGATTCCCCGTCGGAATTTACTATCTTTGTATCTGGGTGTATTTGTTCGTATCTTTTGTGTTTGCGGTAATCCATAACACAGAGGAAGGTCCTAGCTTGGAGTAGTTGAATGTGTTTGTGTTCTTAAAGTGAAAACTGCTTTAGCAATGTTTGAGATTTGTTTTGCGATCAAATGGAAAGAATACTCGCAAAACAACACTGAAAAAAAAAGAAAACAAAATGAAAGGGTCAAGTCTGCGAGAGTTTGGAATGTATTTCTGGAACATTCACTTCTGCCGCGTTCGAACTGAAGTCATATTTCCCAAATATCTGTTAGGCCTATATTACGTAGTCTTAAGAATCGTCACTACAGAAAAACAAATTTATACTAATATATAAATCTATAGTGGTTTTTACGGATGTTCCGTTATAACTACTGAACCGTGCATCCAAATTGACTTGAAACTTGGTATCTATGTAGCAAATACATGTACTTAATGGATAGGCTAAGATTTATATGAGTGTTGGACGCCCTACACCAGTTGCGGGGCGTTAATGATGAGAATCTTTGTGGGGGTGAGAAATAATAATGTTAATTTTAAATGCCCAGCGAAGCGGACGGTTACAGCTAGTATATATATATATAAAACACCGATTATTTCTTGATAACATCATTCTCGGAATGTCATATAGCGGATCTCGAGCAAGAAAGCTTACACACATAAAGAATTTCCACTGAAATCGTTCGGATATCGGGTATTCGGATAATCGAAAGATTAATAATGACCGGGAATAGGTCAAAGGAAATTTAAGGCGGGGATTTCATAAACAATTTTTTATTTATTTTAGTTTGGTACTTATTAGGCCATTAAAATTGCAATTCGAATTTCACTACCCACCTCGTGGTGTGAGGTCGACTGAGGACTCCAAGTTATTGAACAACGGCTATATCGTTCATTATACTAGCGCTCCGGCTTATACGGAACGTGGTCATATAATAGAAATTTAGACAGTATGTTTCTGTGAATGCATTCTTAATGTTACGTTATTGAATTCCGACAAACTGGAGATCGGAGCTGTGAGAAAGTCTACAATTCTTATAAAAAAAGGTCCGAAATTTCAATTCTAGAACACCTAAAATACCAATAAACAAAGAAGTTAAATTCGGGAATCGGATAAAATAAAGCGCGTTAGACTTTCCCGGGATAATTGGTTGCGTATTATTTAGTACTCTTTGGTCTATAAACTACTAAATGATTAATTACATCGGTTGCTACATAAAAACCCGTACCAGCGAAGACACGATAGAACACGTTGTTTCCCGAGCGCTACGACATGTCCTTCTTCAAACGAGGCTTGCGAAGAGTACTCAATGGTACTCAAAATAAAAAAGACACTCGTATTTTATTAGCACATATATATATAGCTTAGATGGGTGGACGAGCTCACAGCCCACCTGGTGTTAAGTGGTTACTGAAACCCATAGACATCTACAACGTAAATGCGCCACACACCTTGAGATATAGTTCTAAGATCTCAAGTATAGTTACAACGGCTTCCCCACCCTTCAAACCGAAACGCATTACTGCTTCAGGGCAGAAATAGGCAGGGTGGTGGTACTTACCCGCGCGGACTCACGAGAGGTCCTGCCGCTGGTAAAAATCTGACAGCCGCGTCATTTATGTGCGAAATATCATCCAAATCAATGTAGCCCTTTTTGCTTGGATGAATGACAAACTCCAGTTTAAATCGAAGAGCCAACGTCACATCGAAACTGACCCTTAATCAAAACGAAATACCAGATTCGGATCAGAGGAAGACATCAATTTTTATAATATTTTGAGAAAATAAACGGTTTCCAATCAATTCGTAGAAAACCGGTTCATTTCCTTACCGTCGTGATCCACTGAATTAGGTCAAACATTATCTGGCTTTTATCTTGAAAAGTCACTTGAGATCTCACCTTTTTTATTACAATTGTGGTGGTCGTTATAAAAAATATCTAAAATGCGAACTGTTATATCCCTAGCCTGTATAGACTAATGCTTACCAAACACCTTACTCATCATAAGTCCTCTCACAGTGATTTCATGAGAACATACCAGGCAGTTCGGGTCAGATATTCATTGAAGTGAGACGTTTACCAATTTTCCTCACTATTTATAATTATTTTGTTATAATTAGTTATTCATTATAAATATTGTGTAGTGTCGAATAAATCCTTTTCAAAAAGAGTTCGGCCTTCTCACTACTAACAGAACGTTGCGGTTCGCGGCAAAGCGATTAGAAATACTTAAATAATTAAATACTTATAGTACTTAGCGACGGCTTATTGCAGGTTTATGAAAATTTCAATCAAATACATGGGTTATATAGTATGTATGTATGTATGTACTTTTTTGTGTATGTATTTGTAACATAATATAAATTTCATTGCACCTACCACTATTCACTCTGCACTACCTTTGGTTGACTGGTAGAGAATGCCTTAGGCATTAAGTCCGCCAATGTAAATTTTACATGAAGTGTAATAAATAAATAAATGTAGCGATTTGTCTTTAACCGATTTTATTTATTTATTGCTTAGATGGTTGGACGAGCCTACGGCCCAGCTGGTGTTAAATGGTTACCTTACCCCTGAGACATCTACAACGTAAATGCCGCCACCCACCTTGAGATATGAGTTCTAAGTTCTCAGTATAGTACAACGGCTATCCCACCCTTCAAGTCAACTACATGAGAACTGTCCGATTTGGGCCGTGCGTCTTATCTTATATATATGATATTTTAGATATATATAGGCCTATGTCCAGCGGTGGGCAGATAAAGGCTGATGATGATGATGATGATGATGATGTCTAATCTTTATTAAAAGCGAAGACAAAGACGAAAAGACTATTATCACTAAAAAACAAATCAAAAATATTTATTTTCCCATTACTATTGTAAACAATTGTTAATTAGCTGACACCACAGCTGTTTATATTGAATTCACTAAATAAATGTTGTATTTCGTTTACTTTGAGAGTGGTTCAATTTTGTTTTGTGATTGTGAACCGCTGAGTTTGTTTCGCCGGTTCTTCTCAGGACTGTGGCTTTTTTTGGAACCGGTGGTAGAGTTAACATTGTTATTTGTATTTTGACATTCAACAAGTGTGTCATACTGACATCTAAGTTGAAATAAATGATTTTGAATTTGAATTTGAACAATCTGAAATTCAATAACCTATGTTCCTCTGAATTGTAATCGCTGGAAGAGACCATGTATCGTTTCAAACGTAGGTACCTCTTTACTTTATTATTTTTGTGTAAAATAAATAACAAAAGTCAGTGCGTAGTGGTGCACGTTAAAAATTATTTTTTGACCTTTTTTTATCTGACAGAATATTACGTGTACACAAGAGGCCGTCAGCGCAAAAGTGGCCTAACCTCAAATTTTTCATAATCATGCTTATATGTATATTGCAATTTATTTAAAATATAATAAATTTTGATGCAAAACCAGCCCTATTCATAGTTTCGCCCATAGATAACAGATGGCTCTGTAAACATTATTTTTGCGCGTATTGTTTTTTTTTGTCTACTCAAATTCAAATTCATGAAAACTTAAACCTCATTGCTCTATAATAACTATGGTAAGCTTAGGTCACTTTTACGCTGACGGCCTCATAAATAATGATATGGACTATTTCAGAATGAATAAGCAATAAACGATTTAATTGTGTTTTCTATGGTATAATAAGAAAACAACATTTAAGACCCATAATATCTTTTGAAATTAATATTAAAAATTAAACAGTAATCAATAAACAGTATTAATAGACTATACAAAACTGAACTCTCTTTTTACTGAATAACAGACCTCACTCCACGACTCTGAATGACGCTGAAGAAAAATCCTTTTTAAAAACTAAAGAGTTTTAAATAGTTCATAAAGATTGTTCTTTACATATATAATATAAAAATATGTCGGAGCACGCCAGGTATGGCTGAGCGGTAGTTCCGTCATCACTCGTATTCGATTGAACTCAGTTTAGTTAATAAAACTTTTTGAATAACAATTATTGAAACTCAACACACACAACTTTCACAATGACAGGATAAACCGACAGTTTCGTTGCACATACCGACAGACCGACTGACTGAGACGGACGGAATGACTGTCTGACACGGANTCTTGTAGACTAAATCGTCTCTTCTGTGGTCCGCAAAAATATAAAAATTGCGATTATGCCAAAAATAAGACATATTGATCTCGGTTACAGTGATTAAAAGATTGATAATCAATAGCTAAATAATAAATAGTTTGTTTCACACTGATTCTGAGATATTTTTTTTGCTGCACTTTTTTATTCTCTATTTGTGTATGACCCATGTATATCATTAGTAACCAACCTGTAGCCATATTTCTGACCCAAAAAAACGACGAAATTAGGACCCATTGATAGCCTCTGGCAGTTCTTGATCTCTCTCATACACAGCTCTGTGGTCATATGATCGTCTGTGGCCTCATCTCTTACTCCCCATCGCATATCCACCACCTTAGGAAATAAATTGAAAATGAAGGACAATATTTTTTTGTAAATTTTATTTTCTCGTTAATAGCTAAGAAGTCATTATAGCCTAAGACTATGCCAGCCTGCAAATGTCATCAGCACATACTTTACATACATACGATTATTACTGGTGTTAGGACGTCTTGTAAGTCCGAACGTCTAGATACCATCACTCTGCCTATTTCTGCCGTGAAGCAGTAATGCGTTTCGGTTTGAAGGGTGGGGTAGCCGTTGTAACTATACTGAGACCTTAGAACTTATATCTCAAGATGGGTGACGCATTTACGTTGTAGATGTCTATGGGCTCCAGTAACCACTTAGAACCAGGTGGGCTGTGAGCTCGTCACCCATTTAAGCAATAAAAAAACCAAGTTATCTTATGAAACACGTACTTAAAACATATTCACGTATAAATACCACCACAAAGAAAAAAGGATGGAAAAGTAAAATCGCCCAACGAAATTTTGCTATATAATTACTGGGAACAGGGTATCCTGTGAGCCTTCACGAGTATTAACATCCTCCCTATTTCTACCGCGAACTAGTTCCGGCTTAATAGCTGTCACGTAATTTAAACGTGAAAACGCGACTATTTTGCATCAGAAATAGGCCCACTGCGATAAAGCGGCACGACACGAGAACCCTCTCATCGTGGCCACCGGTAACTACATTCCCGATCCTGCGGACAGAATGGAATGCAGTAGACGTCGCCCCAAACACGTCATTTCGGATCCTCCCGATCCACTGACGGTGCTTTTAGGTACCTCAAGCACCGTTCATCGTTCTCGTCGAACCTGTCGCTTGCGACGAAGAGCTCGATGAGTAAATTAGCCCTCAGACACATCCACTGAGTTTCTCGCCGGATCTTCTCAGTGGGTCACGTTTCCGATCCGGTGGTAGATTCTGCGAAGTACGGCTCTTGCTAGGGTTCGTGTTAGCAACGTCGTCAGGTTTGAGCCCCGTGAGCTTATCTACTAGTTAAGGTTACGCTGATATAGTCTCGCAAGGTTCTCAGCTTAGGTAGAAAAAAAACCAGAAATAGGCAACATGGTAGTACTTGTGGGAGTTCACAATGCGACTTCCCAGCAGCAAAACTGTTCAAGCTTTTTGGCATTCCAGACGCATAGGAGATTATCCTTGGGAACGTTAACTGTAAAACGCTGTCTTCACAAGCATCGTGAGGTCTGGGTACAATATACATACAATGTTCGGTGCAATGCGACTGCGTTCACGAACCCGTAAATATACCGACCGAAAGTACAACGACCAATGCAAGAATAGTAACAGTTCAAAAACATTATTACTATTTCTCGTAACTCAAACAATTCCGAAGCGTCGATAAACTTTAGTAATTTTAGTTTTGGAGAACATTGCGTTTGCGCACGTGGCGCAGCTTCCGTTGACCGAAATAGAACGAGCTGAGTGAGGGTGAACGTAGCTTTTTGTAAACTTTCCAACGTTTCTAAGTTACGTTTTAGAGCTTTCGTAAATACTAATAATAATGAACGAACGGAAGTTGAGAATTCGCTTCGTGTTTTCGTAAACTTTGTGTGGCGGCAGAAAAGCGCGTGGTGACTTTAAAAAAATGGGCACTAGCAAGTGTTTCCAGACTGTTTGGGCCACATTGAAAATCCACAAGAAATCTTCCACATGTTGGTCTATAGATGCACTGATCACCTCACTCAGCCTGGCTTGAAATAAATCGTGTGGCTCTTTTTTTTATTGCTTGGTTGGTTGGACGAGCTCACAGCCCACCTGGTGTTAAGTAGTTACTGGAGCCCATAGACATCTACAACGTAAATTCGCCACTCGCCTTGAGATATAAGTTCTAAGGTCTCAGTATAGTTACAACGGCTGCCCCATCCTTCAAACCGCATTACTGTTTCACGGCAGAAACAGGCGGGGTGGACCTACCCGTGTGGACTCACAAGAAGTCCTCTACCACCAGTATAAAAAGTAGTCTTTATCGAGTGTAATTTTTCTATTCATCCATGTAAGCTATCAAACTCGAATTATTGGCTAGGAAGGTCCTAGCTTGGAGTATTTGAATGTGTTGTTGTTCTTAAAGTGAAAACTGCTTTAGCAATGTTTGTGTTTGTTATGCGACTAAATTGTAAGAATACTCGTAAAACAACACTGAAAAGAAAGAAAACAAAATGAAAGGGTCAAATCTGCGAGAGTTTTGAATGCATTTCTGGAGCCTTCACTTCTGCCGCTTCCGAACTGAATTTATATTTCCCAAATATCTGCTTCGCCTATATTACGTAGTCTTAAGAATCGTCACTACAGAAAAACAAATTTATACTAATATATAAATCTATAGTGGTTTTTAGAGATGTTCCGTTATAACTACTGAACCATGCATCCGATTGACTTGAAACTTGGTAACCGTGTAGAAAATACATGTACTTAATGGATAGGCTAATATTTATATGAGTGTTGGACGACCTACACCAGTTGCGGGGCGTTAATGATGAGAATCTTTGTGGGGGTGAGAAATAATAATGTTAATTTAAAATGCCCAGCGAAGCGGACGGGTACAGCTAGTATGTTTATAAGACATCGATTATTTCTTAACAACATCATTCTCGGAATGTCATATAGCGGATCTCGAGCAAGAAAGCTTACACACATAAAGAATTTCCACTGAAATCGTTCGGATATCGGGTATTCGAATAATCGAAAGATTAATAATGACCGGGAACAGGTCAAAGGAAATTTAAGGCGGGGATTTTCATTATACAATTTTTATTTTATTTTAGTTTGGTACTTTGTTATTTTGCCATTAAAATTGCAATTCGAATTTCACTACCCACCTCGTGGTGTGAGGTCGATTGACGACTCCAAGTTATTGGACAACGGCTATATCGTTCATTATACTAGGGCTCCGGCTTATACGGAACGTGGTCATATAATAGAAATTTAGACAGTATGTTTCTGTGAATGCATTCTTAATGTTACGTTATTGAATTCCGACAAACTGGAGATCGGAGCTGTGGGAAGGTCTACAATTCTAACAAAAAAGGTCCGAAGTTTCAAATCAAATAATCAAAAGCTCTAAGAACGCCTAAAATACTAATAAACAAAGAAAGAGATTTTGATTTATACCATTCATAACCCGATATTTTAAAGAAGTTAGATTTGGATTCCGGAGAAAATAAAGCGCGTTAGACTTTCCCGGGATAATTGGTTGCGTATTATTTAGTACTCCTTGGTCTATAAACTACTAAACGATTAATTACATCGGTTGCTACATAAAAACCCGTACCAGCGAAGACACGATAGAACACGTTGTTTCCCGAGCGCTACGACATGTCCTTCTTCAAACGAGGCTTGCGAAGAGTACTCAATGGTACTCAAAATAAAAAAGACACTCGTATTTTATTAGCACATATATATATATATAGCTTAGATGGGTGGACGAACTCACAGCCCACCTGGTGTTAAGTGGTTACTGAAACCCATAGACATCTACAACGTAAATGCGCCACACACCTTGAGATATAGTTCTAAGGTCTCAAGTATAGTTACAGCGGCTGCCCCACCCTTCAAACCGAAACGCATTACTGCTTCACGGCAGAAATAGGCAGGGTGGTGGTACTTACCCGCGCGGACTCACAAGAGGTCCTACCGCTGGTAAAAATCTGACAGCCGCGTCATTTATGTGCGAAATATCATCCAAATCAATGTAGCCCTTTTTGCTTGAATGAATGACAAACTCCAGTTTAAATCGAAGAGCCAACGTCAAATCGAAACTGACCCTTAATCAAAACGAAATACCCGATTCGGATCAGAGGAAGACATCAATTTTTATAGTATTTTGAGAAAATAAACGGTTTCCAATCAATTCGTAGAAAACCGGTTCATTTCCTTACCGTCGCGATCCACTGAATTAGGTCAAACATTATCTGGCTTTTATCTTGAAAAGTCACTTGAGATCTCACCTTTTTTATTACAATTGTGGTGGTCGTTATAAAAAATGTCTAAAATGCGAACTGTTATATCCCTAGCCTGTATAGACTAATGCTTACCAAACACCTTACTCATCATAAGCCCTCTCATAGTGATTTCATGAGAACATACCAGGCAGTTCGGGTCAGATATTCATTGAAGTGAGACGTTTACCAACTTTCCTATTTCTAAATTCTTTTGTTATAATTAGTTATTCATTATAAATATTATTGTGTAGTGTTGAATAAATCCTTTTTTAAAAAGAATTCGGCCTTCTCACTACTAACAGAACGTTGCGGTTCGCGGCAAAGCGATTAGAAATACTTAAATAATTAAATACTTATAGTTCATAGCGACGGCTTATTGCAGGTTTATGAAAATCTCAATCAAATACATGGTTTATATAGTATGTATGTATGTGTGTACTTTTTTGTGTATGTATTTGTAACTTAATATAAATTTCATTGCACCTACCACTATTCACTCTGCACTACCTTTGGTTGACTGATAGAGAATGCCTTAGTCATTAAGTCCGCCAATGTAAATTTTACATGAAGTGTAATAAATAAATAAAAATAGTGATTTGTCTTTAACCGATTTTATTTATTTATTGCTTAGATGGGTGGACGAGCTCACGGCCCAGCTGGTGTTAAATGGTTACCTTACCCCTGAGACATCTACAACGTAAATGCCGCCACCCACCTTGAGATATGAGTTCTAAGTTCTCAGTATAGTACAACGGCTATCCCACCCTTCAAGTCAACTACATGAGAACTGTCCGATTTGGGCCGTGCGTCTTATCTTATATATATGATATTTTAGATATATATAGGCCTATGTCCAGCGGTGGGCAGATAAAGGCTGATGATGATGATGATGATGATGATGATGTCTAATCTTTATTAAAAGCGAAGACAAAGACGAAAAGACTATTATCACTAAAAAACAAATCAAAAATATTTATTTTCCCATTACTATTGTAAACAATTGTTAATTAGCTGACACCACAGCTGTTTATATTGAATTCACTAAATAAATGTTGTATTTCGTTTACTTTGAGAGTGGTTCAATTTTGTTTTGTGATTGTGAACCGCTGATTGATAGTTTCGCCGGTTCTTCTCAGGACTGTGGCTTTTTTTGGAACCGGTGGTAGAGTTAACATTGTTATTTGTATTTTGACATTCAACAAGCGTGTCATACTGACATCTAAGTTGAAATAAATGATTTTGAATTTAAATTTGAACAATCTGAAATTCATTAACCTATGTTTCTCTGAATTGTAATCGCTGGAAGAGACCTCGTATCGTTTCAAACGTACGTACCTCTTTACTTTATTATTTCTGTGTAAAATAAATAACAAAAGTCAGTGCGTAGTGGTGCACGTTAAACATTCTTTTGTGACCTATACTGAGACCTTAGAACTTATATCTCCAGGTGGGTGGCGCATTTACGTTGTAGATGTCTATGGGCTTCAGTAACCACTTAACACCAGGTGGGCTGTGAGCTCGTGCACCCACCTAAGCAATAAAAAAAAAAGACCTTTTTGTATCTAACAGAATATTACGTTTATATATGAGGCCGTCAGCGCAAAAGTGGCCTAACCTCAAATTTTTCATAATCACGCTTATAAAACATGTATATTGCAATTTATTTAAAATATAATAAATTTTGATGCAAAACCGGCCCTATCCACAGTTTCGCCCATAGATAACAGATGGCTCTGTAAACATTATTTTTGCGCGTATTGTTTTTTTGCCTACTCGAATTCAAATTCATGAAAACTTAAACCTCATTGCTCTATAATAACTATGGTAAGCTTAGGTCACTTTTACGCTGACAGCCTCACATAATGATATGGACTATTTCAGAATGAATAAGCAATAAACGACTTAATTGTGTTTTCTGTGGTATGATAAGAAAAAACATTTAAAACCCATAATCTCTTTTAAAATTAATATTAAAAATTAAACAGTAAACAGTATTAATAGACTATACAAAACTGAACTCTTTTTTTACTGAATGACAGACTTCACTCCACGACACTGAATGACACTGAAGAAAAGTCCTTTTTAAAAACTAAAGAGTTTTAAATAGTTCATAAAGATTGTTCTTTACATATATAATATAAAAATAGAAAAGATAAGGCTGTATGTTACGACACCTTTGCCTTTCTATTTGGAAAAATAAAAGCACTACTACTCTACATATAAACGTGTATGTTAAGTTTTTTTCGAATTATCACGAGACGCAGATATTATACTTACAATTATGAATTTATGAACAAAATTAATAGGTTAAAATTATTTTAATCAAAGTTTATGTTTTTCGTTCAGAACGACAATGCATGACAAATAAAATTATTAACTTGAATGAAATCCAAGTCATCAACTCACGAAAAAGATACATATGCTTTTTTTTATATTTTCATCACGTGAAATTTAGCCTTTAATCCACATTTTGATACTAGACAGCGTTCGAAGAAAAGTACTTATCCTGTCTAATTTTTAGTAAAATATTGTAACGCCGGTAAAAGTAACGCCATCTATCGCCGAATAGTCGAGCGAATATCTAAGGATCTAGTAGCATCTAGAACGCTCTAGAAGTACAACGCCATCTACTGTCAGATAGCGGAAACAGCAATACTCGAGTTGTGTGAAATATTCTCGATAATTCTAGGGATGTGGGATCGGCTATAAAAGCGTTGCAGAGATGTCACGCAGTCAGTTAGTAATCAGAACTACTCGAAGCGAAACAGCGAACGGATCACCTGAAGCGAAGCCGAAGAAGCGAATTGAGAATTTTAAGGTGTTATATGTGTGTTCTAAGTGATAAATACTGTATTAGCTTGTCATTCGGTAGAATTTTATTTATCCCGAACACCAGCGCGTAAAAATACGTTAACGAGTATTCTCTGGTTGATTGTAAAATACATTACCGTTCTTAAAGCCGAACATACCACTTACTAGTGTGAAACTAGTCTATAAAATAAAAATTCATATTTTATTAGACAATAGAAAGAGAACCTCGATTTTAGATCACCTGAAATTCCAATCCGTGCTTCTCTCTGCAGTAGTCTTTGATCCTTGGGTAACATTTGGCCATCAGAGTATTTCGTTCCATTGTGGTGTCTGCAAATATACACAAGTGAATAGTCAGGTTTCGTTAAAGATTTGAAATACTACTTAGATGGGTGGACGAGCTCACAGCTCATCTGGTATTAAGTGGTTATTGGAGCTCATAGACATCGACAACGTAAATGCGCCACCCATCTTGAGATATAGGTTCTAAGGTAAGTTACAACGGCTGCCCCACCCTTCAAAGCGAAACGCATTACTGCTTCACGGCAGAAATAGACACGGCGGTGCTATCTATCCGTGCGGACTCACAAGAGGTCTTACCACAAGTAATTAAGCAAGTTATAATTTAGCGGGTTTGATTTTTATTACACGCTGTTATTCCTTCACCATGGAAGTCGATCGTGAGCATTTGTTAAGTACGTGTTTCATTGGAAAAATTGGTATCCGCCTGCGGGATTCGAACACCGGTGCATCGCTATATATGAATGCACCGGACGATCACTCCAATGTTGGGGCCAATGCTATTTTCTGGATCCACACGTTGGTCGAATGGCGTTGGGGCCTATGTTGGGGCCAACGTGTGGAGGCGGCGATAGGGTCATCATGTTAAGTCAAATAGTGACTTTGACATTAGATAAATAAGACTGTGATAGTGACAGTCGATTTGAAATGATACCGGTGTGCCTTTCTATACTAAGCTTCAGTGCTATTCAGCTTTGTCTAATAAGTATATTATTATAGAAATTTATCACTTAAAGATTTCTCTGTACGTTTCATTCCATTAGTGCGATGTTTTTCGCCGTGAACTCGCCCACGAGTCTACAATTAAACTCATAAACAAGGCTGTGTGTGGTAACCCTAAACATAGCGACGTACTCAGTAAAAAATGTGTCGGGTTAAATTTATTATCAAAATGCTTTCTTAAGTTTAATCTATCATTAGCCTTCTAGGCTTGGAAAGCAGTGGTTACTAATGACATTTCTAAGACCAGGCACTGAGATTTATCTGAGATGCTGTCGAAAGCTTTAAGCTTTTTTAAACATCGCTTAAACAAGAGGTAGCGCTCAGAGAAAGCCGTAAAAGGGATCCCATTTTGGAACCGGGTGCTAAACCCGGGTGGAAAAACAATATCGTTAATGAATTTATTATTTACATTACTTAAATGTGTACGATACATTTAAAATTACTGTATTCTTTTTTTTTATTGCTAAGATTATACCTGGTGTTAAGTGGTTACTAGAGCCCATAGACATCTACAACGTAAACGCCGCTACCCACCTTGAGACATGAGTTGTAAGGTCTCACTTTTAACAGTACAGCAGCTGCCCCGCCCTTCAAACCGAAACGCATTACTGCTTCACGGCAGAAATGGGTGGGGTGGTGGTACCTACCCGTGCGGACTCACAAGACGTCCTACCACCAGTAATTACGCAAACTGTAATTTTGCAGGTTTGATTTTTATTACACAATGCTATACCGTCACCATGAAAGTCAATCGTAAACATTTGTTATGTACGTATTTCATTGGAAAAATTGGTACCTGCCGGCGGGATTCGAACATCGATGCATCACTACATACAAATGCACCGGACGTCTTAACCTTTAGGCCACGATGACTTAATCCTTTATTAGCACAATTTCGTGAATCCCTTGTACGGGACCGAGTGGGTCGATAGTCAGAAGGTACAACAGGTACCTCACGAACGGATAATTATCTCTATACGCTTAAACTAGCGGCCGAACCCGCGGATCATCTCCGGTTAACCGTCATTACCCGAACCCGCAGACACTGGACATAATGAATCGTGTTCCTTTGCGGATGTATATTTGCAATTATCCAAAGTCGACCTCGATGAAGGCTTGAATAAATATCTCGTTATAACGTTGCTAGCAAACTTTTAATGTCAATTATTTGTGGATGTGCTTATGGGGTCTGTGCTTATGTGTTTTCTATCTATTGATGGTATTTACTGATGGTACTTAAGTAGAAACATTGAACGTAGACAGGCATTATCACATTCCATCTTTCAAAAAGCCAAAATTTGCGGTAAACTTCATGATCCCACCAACTGGAACCAATTAATTAACGCTACAACACGATAATTGATAACTACCGTATTAGTGAATACAAACGTGTTTAAATTTGGGGGGTTTTGACTTTATGAAACCCTTAAATGCGTCCCAGCGGAAAGACATTGTAGAGTATAACCTAGCTCGCTAAACAGCTATTAGGGTGCGCCCACACTATTTCACCCTCAACGGGTCACAGATAGACACGATCCATCGTCACGCGAGCCCTATGCGCCAACTATAAAGTTATAGTGGAAGTAGGTAATTACAAAATTCTTCGCATAAGGCTGAAGCATTGTTTGCGCGAAATTGAATTCAATGCATTTAATAATAGATGCGAGGCTTGCGAGTTGAAATCAATGGTTAACTTGATCCAATAACGGCGTGTTTGTTGTTTATCTTATTATCACATAAAAACTTGCAATAAAGTTATGTAATATAATAGCGAAATAAAACGATTTGCAGACGAAATTCGACAAGCAACGTTGATTAAAACTAAACTAGAGGTCCCGCAGTAGTCGAAATTCGACTATAATTAATTGGAATCGTAAGTTTGTACACTATTATGATTGTATTTTATACTTCTATAATCACAAATTTCGGCAAAAACAACACTATAAACAATATTAAGAAAGACAAACAATATTTAATCTATTCTCAATTTGACAACAGACGTCAAGAACAAAAGTTTGACAATAAATAGTATGCATGCGTGTGTGCGTCAAATACATGGTATGTAGTGTGTGTAATGTTTTCTTTATTGGTTTAATGTATCTTTTATGCATTATCTTTAAAAAATATTAGCATTGTGCACTTCTTCTCTATATTCTCTATAAGTGTGGAAAATTTCATACCCCTTCGTCCGCGCAATTTTCGTAAAAAGGGATACAAAGTTTTTGCTTCACGTATTAATATATAGATTAATTTCGTAAAGAAGTTTTATTCTAAAACGCTAAGGCAGATCTGTGATGAATTGAAGAACCCAAAATGGCCGAAAGACATTTTAAATCCACAAGCAAAAATCTAAACCCAACCAAAGGTGCGAAGCAACATTAAAAAAATAAGCGAATATAAAAATTTGCAAAGCTATTGAAGCCACTATCCGATACCATCGTTAATTAAAAGTTGTTCGTTTCGACCCCACCCCCCAACCCCCCACTTCCCCGTCTCCCCATGACCCACCTACTGATACTCGAGCGTTTTATAGCTTAGCATATTTATAGATGCGGTTTAATGTTCAGACACTTCGGTTAATGAAGATTTGAAACTTGAAAAATGTGTTCTTTGTTCTGAAACTGAAGTTTTTTTTTAATTTTTTAATTTACATAAGGCGACGGGAGAGGTCCTAAATATAACAGCGTAGATTTTACTGATAATCCCGACTCAGAGTGGTCGTGGTCTTTTTGAATTACAAACCCCTTTAGAACTGATTACAAACTCGATAAAATTACACCTGAAAAACAAAACTACAAAGAAACAAACATATTGTACATCTTCTAGAAGATTTGCACTGTCTTTGCTTGGGATCCGAACTCTATATGATGCCGTCAGAACATAAAGCGACAAATCAGACGTTAACATAATAGTATATAATATTTTTTAACAAAAATGAAATACCATGAGTATATAAAATGAGAATATCATCAAGTCTAGTCGAGATCAATAAAAAATTTGCTGGTGGTATGTCTTGTGAGTCCACACGGGTAGGTACCACCACCCCGCCTATTTTTGCCGTGAAGTAGTAATGCGTTTTGGTTTAAAAAGTGGGACAGCTGTAACTGTTGTAGTGTAAAAACGGAGACATTAGAACTCATATCTCAAGGTAGGTGGCAGCATTTACGTTATAGATGTCTATGGGCTCCGGTGATCACTTAACACCAGGTGGGCGGTAAGCTCCTCCACCCATCTGAGCAATAAATTAAAAAAAAGCATAATTAAGGATAACTCAAAAACTACTTGTAAGGTTTTAATATAATTTTACGACCATGCAAGAAGTACCATCTTTCAAATAAAGGATAAACAAAATCAGCTCAACTTAAGAATAATTTGGAGGAATTGAAAACCTTCTATTTTTTTATTCGGTTAAAACAAGATCAAAAAAACCTTCTATATTCCACAGCCCCAAGGTAGGATTCTCTAATAAAGAGATGCAGATCACAATAAGACGTCTCTCACCCTGACCACTAGGCACACTCTGTGGTACAGTAGTCTAAATTAACATTCAAAGCCATCTAGATACGCTTACCAGTAAACGTGGAGCTGGTGAATATTCTCACGATCTTGGAGCTGACTGGTGGAAGAGACTTGAGGGAGCCACCGAAGATCAAGTCCACAGTGCGGTCGTCCATGATAGATCGCAGTGACTGCTGGTTCTAGAAGATTCTGAAAACATTCCAATTCATATCTTCTTAACATGACTTTTTCTTGATAAACCAATGAATATCATTACTGTAATATGGTTTTAAGGCTAGAGAAATCGAATGGTTGATAATGGTACATCTGGAATTCGATCATGGTAAGAGCTACCTCATCTATTTTCCTACCCAAGAGTCCCATCACAAATATTTTTTGTGCTTTTTGAGGCAAACAAGATCATAGTTAACATGGTGTTCAAATGTTTCCTGGGTCCCATAGAAACCAGCACGAAAACACCGCTTACGATGAGGAAGAAGAGGCAGAAACCTCAATTGTACTGTTTACGCTTTAATAGGTACTTTAAACTACTAGCAATAATTGCCATCAGCAACTACGCAATAAATTTTGGTGACTTTGATTTTTGGACATGACGTCGTGCTTTATCTACTAAACGATCGTTCGTGAAAACAAATTGAGTGCATATTGCCGCGAAAAAATTAGTACCTGCCTGCGGGTTTTGAGCATTGGCATAGTCGCATCGGTTATAACCGAACGTCTTATCTTTCAGACCAAGGCGGCTTTTGTTTAGTACTTATCGTGGCAATGGCTACAAGTCGTGGGCTTCAGTAATTACAAAAAGGCTAAATAGACTATGGGCTTATCTGTCAATGTGAAGGTTAAGATTTAAAAAAAAAAAATGGCGAGCTTAACTTAACAATTGAGTTATCTACCAGCTAACCTTATGGGTTAGCTGGTAGATAGCTAAGGGCCTTATGACTACCATAAACCACGTATCGTAATGCAAAATATCGCCATAACACGGACACGATATTGACCAACATAAAGGTTTGGTCAATAAAAAGGTCTTTAAGATTAGAAGACTTTTAAAATCTTCTTCTTCTCAGTCGTACACTCCTGGCGGAGTGGTCGTGGTTATGTATGTCTTATTGCTTGGTTGCGGCTTTTGGGAGACTTCTCCATCTCTCTCTATTTGTGACGGTACGTGTACATTCAAAACCTTACGTACCATTAAAATCAGCTATGCTTTAATAATGTTAGCATTCAGTAATATTATCAGTATAGTCTCGTATCTTTTTTTATTGTCATCATTTTCGACGTGTCCAATACTTTACAGTTCTTTTGGTCACACGAACGATTGACCTGGACATCCACGATCATATCGGAAAAGTAATTTTATTTACGTAAGCGAATCGCGAAATCCGTCTCAAACATTATCCATTTTAAAATTAATGAGCGAAAAACATGATTTCTTTTTTTTTATTGCTTAGATGGTTAGACGAGCTCACAGCCCGCCTGGTGTTAAGTAGTTACCGGAGCCTCTATAGACATCTACAACGTAAATGCGCCACCCGCCTTGAGATACAAGTTTCTAAGGTCTCAGTATAGTTACAACGGCTGCCCCGCCCTTCAAACCGAAACGCATTACTGTTTCACGGCAGAAATAGGCGGGGTGGTGGTACCTACCCGTGCAGACTCACAAGAAGTCCTACCACCAGTAAGCAGATTGAGAATAGTTGAAGAGAAAACTCGATAAAACGCCTACCTAAAAAAACTACGTTCTTTGCCCAGATTTCCGAGCACTCAAACATAATAGCGTACATTTTATGACTTAGATAAAAAAAAAAAAGATTTATCTACCCGATAAAAGTCATGCACATGTAGAGTGATGCATTGAAATTCGATAGCACTATCGTAACCGTTGGAGCAAGGCTTCGTAACAATATGCCGTGACTGAAGGTGATAATCCGTGATTAACGCGACCCGGTAACACGTGACATCGCTATAAGTTAGGAGAAATAAATCAAACAGCGACAACCCTAGTCAAATTGCTTAAACTTAGATGTTAGAGCAAAGATGACCCGTGTTACTTTTTTTTATTGCATAGATGGGTGAACGAGCTCACAGCTCACCGGTGTTAAGTGGTTACTAGAGCCCATAGACATCTACAACGTAAATGCGCCACCCACCTTGAGATATAAGTTCTAAAGTCTCAAGTATAGTTACAACGGCTGCTCCACCCTTCAAACCGAAACCCATTACTGCTTCACGGCAGGGTGGTGGTCCCTACCCGCGCGGACTCTCAAGAGGTCCTACCACCAGTAATTACGCAAATAATAATTTTTGCGGGTTTTATTTTTATTACACGATGTTATTCCTTCACCGTGAAAGTCAATCGTGGACATTTGTTGAGGATGTATTTCTTTAGAAAAATTGGTATCCGCCTGAGATTCGAACACCGGTGCATCGCTCAACACGAATGCAGCGGACGTCTTATCCTTTAGGCCACGACGACTTCTTACTTTCGGAATCTACCACCGGATCGAAATCGCGATCCACTACTTTTTATTGCCCTTGTTGGCAGACGACAATATGACCGACCTGATGGTGAATAGTTACCGTCGATTATAGACGTCATCAATGCTAGGACCACAGCCAAACCGCGGCCTACCGCCAATGAGGGGATCTGATGAGAAACTCTGTGGGCTGTGTCTGTGGGACCTACTCGTTGAAATATCTTTCCTATAGTCGCAATTTTAACATTGAAATCGAGATTTTCTTTGATATTATTCTAGAATTGTGTGCTATTCATCGTTGTGAATGTACACATGTTCGCATTCGCATTTAGATATTTACGAGTTCCGAATCGGTGTACTCCGACAAAACATTTCCTGTACAATCTTTATGGGTTCGCTCATAATCTGACAAACTATTTTTTATGAGCTTTCAAAGTATACGGCCCGCGTCGCCTCGCCAAATACATTAGTTACAGTTAAACTTATTGCATATGAGATGTAGGTTGAACACTTTAGTTTAACGTTTGTGTTCACCCTTAATTGATTGCACCGACAGAAATATAATGAAACTAGCGGCCCGCTCCGGCTGCGCTCGGGTCTTTAGCTATAATTTCAACGATATTTGACGTTGTTTTATTTTTTAAAATAAAAGAAAACACTTATTGCGGCATAACTATAATAGTTAGACATGTGCTGTCGCGACACTTTTTGTAAATAATAACGTGTTCTTCAAAGTCGTGGTACATTATTTTATTCTATTATGAATAGTTTTCGCAGGGCACGCGATGTAAAGAATATTTTAGGTAATTTTTTTACACTTGGGCTACATAATTGGAGTTTTAGTAAGGATCCCTATTTTTTTTTCAAAAAAGATGATAACCTATGTCACTCGGGAATAGTGTAGCTTCCAAACAGTGAAATATTTTTTCAAATCGGTTCATTAGTTTCGGAGCCTATTCAATACAAACAAACAAACAAATATTTCCTCTTTATAATATTAGTATAGATAAAGATTATAGAAAACATTAACTGTTTTCATAATTCGCAATATATGTAATATACAAGCACTCTAATATATGTAAAACTCCCAAAATAAATTACGCATTTGATAATGAGAACTGTTTCAAAATCTTCTCCTTCTTCAAGGAGCTGTAGAACTGTAAATCGTACTGCTTACCGGAGCTGATAATCCTCGTCACGACACCACTCACCTTGAGACATGAGGTTAAAGTCTCAATAGGATTGTGTCACGGCTTTTGAGGGCATGACCGTTTTGCTGTGGCAGTAGACGGGACGATGGTATCTACCCGTGTGGACTTAAAATGCGTGCTACCACCAATAAAGAATCGATTAAGAAAAATGAAAAAAAGCAAGTTTATTGATCCACATAATTGGTCCTTATCAATTAATGATTGAAGCCTCCTTTTAGGAAAATAATGCCTTTGTTAGGAGACTCCGCTCTTCCCAAAATCGAATCTAATTATCTAGAGGTTATTTCAGCTTCTCCTTGACGTGTACGTGAGTTCACGGGGCTCAAACTGGGAGTGTTGCTAACACTGGCCCTTTTTTTTTTTTTTAACGCTGGGGAATCCATTTACGGATACCCGGTCGAGGGGGGTAACGGACCGGGTTATGTCGGACTCCGGCGCCTCCTGAGAGGAAGAAGGGGAGAAGAGAAGAGCCGAGGTCCTTCACCTTCCCCAATTTCTCACAGGAGACTACGCCTTGAAAAAGGCGCGCGAAGCACTTGCCCCGCAGAACGACTACCGACTAAACCCCATCGAGCCCCACCACTCCGACTCCACGAAACCCACGGTACCGCACAGTGCGCGCCGAAGGCTCGCCGTCGCCGGTACCCATCCTGTTAATAGGACGGCACTCCATCCCTGGGAAAATCCCGCAGGACGTCGTCTCGGAGACACACCGTGAGCGGTGCACAGGAGCCACCTTGCGCCGCCTCACCACCGGACCAACAGCCGAGTACCGGGCACCCCCGCACCCGGCACCCGACAGCCCCTACGGGAGATGAACGGGAGCTTCGCGCCCGTGCCGCCCACTCCGCCTTCTTCGCTGTGAAGCCGAAGAGGGATCCCACTCCCTTTCGCGCTCCTCAGCCTCACGGAACGCCATGACCAGGTCGCAAAACCTGGTCATGGCCTCCCAAGAATTCTGGTCCTCTAGCATGCGGGCGATGACAGCCCGCAAGGAGAGGTCTCTCCCCAGCACCGCGATGAGGTCTCGCCGCGAGCGCTCCCAACGCGGGCACGCTTCGA